TGCGAAGAGGATATGAATAATAATATTGTTGTCATTACAACTAACAAGTTTTTGACTAAGAAATCAGACAGACCGTTAATCATCCATAATAAGTTAAACCTAACATTTCATTGAACCTGCATGTAGAGTTCAACAATTTATGATTAATTTTGGAGATAAGCCAAACAATCAATAGCTATATAGTACTCAAGGATCAGAGCACAGGAGTAAACATACTCTGTGATATTCATACACGTACTCCGTTTTGGGGTATTTTATCATTATTCACCGCTGATATTATCACCACCTCGATTCAACACTTGAAAAAATTACAATGGACCAAGGTGCGAAATCTATCAGTCAAGTAGGATATAGATATTGTGTGAAGGGGAGAAAAATGCCACAGCCTTTGTAATTTTTAACTCCATTTACAGTCATCTAAACGAGATTTTTTTTTTTAGGGGGGGGGGATTTTTTTTGGAGTTTTTTTTAAATGAAACAATTTGTTCTCTCTTTCTTTTTACGTACTTTCTTTGTTTATTTTGGGGGGCATTATTTTAGTTATTTTCTTATGTGGTTTGGGAGGGATTGAGAGGGGAATAGATTGATGAGAGAGGGTAAGATATGGGAGGAAGGATCAGAGTGGGGGGGGGGTGTGAGAGAGAGAGAGAGAGAGAGAGAGAGAGAGAGAGAGAGAGAGGGGTATATAAAGGGGAGGGGGTGATTAAGAGGAAAGGTGAGAGACAAACAACTGGGGAGGCAGTGATATGAGGGGATAAAGAATATAAGCAAGATTCAAGTGTCAGAAGAGAGAGAGAGAGAGAGGGGGGGGGGGGGTTCCAGATGGAAGGATCGCGAAAGAAACAAGTAAAGAGGATAGATGCAGTCTGTTTGGAAAGAAAGACCGGAACCTAAATATGACGACACAAAGTCATAAGCAACTGTTTAACCTTTATCTTTTGACGTAAACGTGTGATATTGTGCCCTACTTTATTTCATGACATATTATCGGTAGGCCCCTAAGGGAAAAGGGCAATTAATTCAGTCAATTATATGCTTATTCAGGCGACATTATCCGCATAATTCTGTCAAAGGAAATTATTGATGTTATCTATCTGCCTGAAGCGTGCTACAGTGTACATTTGCCATTTGCTCCAATTCCAAAATAGTCTACTGTTTTGTTTATTAGTTTGTTTTCTTATTTGTTTTTCGCATGATATATTGAGCAGGAAAACTGAACTGGCCTATCCATAAGCCTTTCTGATTTCAAATTTGTGCATCAATACATTGAAGAATTCAGTTTGAAACTGATGAAAGTATTAACTTCTTTTATAACTTCTTGACTCGTAAGATAAGTATTGTACAATAAAATTTGCTTGATCATATTGATATATTTTTTTATTTTGTATTGACACTGATATTTAAGAAATGACAATGCAGAGCACAACATTGCATTGAATAAATTAAGGATGAGAGAGAGAGAGAGAAGAAAAAAAAAGGGGGGGGATAAAACTAGGAAGCAACAAATATACAAAACACAATATACACCAGTATTGCATTAAATAAAAAGGCATTTTTAATTGTCATTGCACTATAACACTATGAATATAAAGCAATATATTTGAATATATATTTCTATATTTTTTAATATCTGATATTTTGATTTCTTTAGTTAGCTAAGGCCCCCCCCCCTTTCATTATCATTTTCAAAAAACAATACCGAATACTAGTAATAATTACAAATCCTGTTTATCCAACTTGCTTCTAATAAATGAACCTGTACATTTTTTATATATAAGCACAGTGTATGTACACACGCAAATGTATTTCTCTTCATATCTTCTTTTATCGATACCAAGACTATTCCTCTTTGGTAGAAAAATGTCTCCTTTCATGACATGTATCATAATAAGTCAATATCTGTGTAGGTTCAGAACCACAAGTATGTTCTACATACATACGTACATAATATTATTCTTATTTACACTGCTGGATAGCATCGAGTTATAAAATCGTCCTTGTTTTCACGAAGTGACGGTAGTGAGGAAAATCGTCACGCAAAGTGAATGCAATTTTTTTTCACTACCGTCACTTCGTGAAAACAGCGACGAAATATGTCACAAAAAAGCAAGATACATGTAGCGAATAAGGGGGGCAGGTAAGGGAGAGAGTGCCTTCTAACTGAATTCACAAAAACGAAAATGTAGACATAGAAAGAGAGAGAGGGGAAGAAGGAGAGATGGGGAAGAAGGAAAGAGGGGGAAGAAGGAGAGGGGGGAATGCAATTAGGCCCCCCCCCCCCCCCCACTATCACTACCACTCAATGCCTGGACCAATACTAAGACAATAGTAAGTAACAACAAACAAACACATAAATAATTAATTAAATCAATAAATATGTAAATAAATGCATTAGTATATCAAATAAATGAATAAATACATAAATTAAATAATTAAATATTAAAAATAAATAACTAAATAAAGAAATAAAAAAATAAAAGAATGATAATAACTCATGTAATAATATCAATCAGTGTGATTCATACAAAGAACAAATCTGCAAGAAAACTAATGATAATTTAGAGATTAAATGTAAATACCTATACAATAGAGTTGCAAATATTTGCTTGAAGCTATCATACTGTTCAGTCACAACTTTTTTAGTTGCCATTCATAATCATTTGTTAAGAATGAAAGTGGCACAAATTGTGAATAAATCTTAAACCTTTACAAAAAAACAGGATTAGTTTATTCAAAGTTTCACTAATGTACTTGTTTAAAGTTATCACGGTGATAAGACATTTTCTGGGATTATTAACACATCCATAAGAATCACAACTGGTTTTGTTAATACTTCAAATTGATGTCTCTTGAGCAACAGTTATTATGATCTTCATGCATTCGGAGCATATTCATGTTATACAAACACTCTCTTCAGTATAGCCACAAGGGAAAATGCGCAATAGACAGAGCTGTCAGTGTCACTCTCGTTAGTTGAATGACCAATTCCACAATTAACCCCCCCCTCCCAAAAAAAAAAAAAAAAAAAAAAAAAAAAAAAAATCAAAAAATCAAAAAATCATAAAAATCAAAAAAATCAACAAGTCAAAATCAAAAACCCCAAAATTTAAAAAAATCAACAAAAAAAAAAAAAATCATGTTTCAAACACTCATAAATTTCTTATTGCTAAAACTTGTTCAATTGTGTGAGCTTTTCATTTCTGTCCCAGTTTCTCTTTTGGCCTAAAACACAACTTGCTTAGAAAGTTTGATTACCCTTCAAAAGGGTAATAGATGAAGTTTTGAGGCTACAAGGCACTTCAATGGCAAGGAAGACATCAAGGCATGTTTCACAAACTTGTCCAAAGTACACGTTCATCGACATCCCATTGAAACATGAGTTAAACTTAATACCCATCTCAAGGAGTTGTTGATGAACTTGCACTTACAATGTATGATGGTTTTGTGAAACCCTGCCATGATTTATTACACATTCATAAAATTTATTACAACATTTTCTAAACACTTAGCACATGGTTACTTAGCTATGGACATGCAATGGTAGGCCTATGCCTGCCAACCTACTGGCTATGGGGGTGGGGTAAAATAAAACTAACTCAGTAGAAACCTGTTTTAAGAAGGATATTGGGACTATAAAATCATTTGGTTATATTAGGTATCTTGTTAAATCAGATTAATCAAATTATTAATAATTTATTATAATAATTAACAATGATAATAATACTGCTAATAATAATAATGGATGAGATTTATAAGGCGCTGAATCCACTCAAAATCAAATGCTCAATGCGCACTTGTGAAACAAAAAGGAAATAAGAGATCACATAAAAGAAATCTGTAATTTAAACAAAGGAACAGAAGTATGATGGACCATACAAAAATGACAGAACAATCAATTATTATTATATGTTGATTTTCTCTTCAACTGATCTGCTATTACAAATCTCTTGAGGAAGAGCATTCCAAATAGAAGGCCCTGCATGAGCAAAGGTACTTTCCCCCACTTAGTATTGAGCATAGGAAGAAGAACGAATCAGGAGTTTTGAGATTGTAAGAATCTTTATAACTTGTTTCCACTGTCTAGATAGGTATTTGACCTCTACAGCTAGTGCAATCCATGACAGAGCCAGTGGCAAAGAAACGTAGAGCAACAAAAACTTGCGGACTGGGTTGTAACGCTCAGTTCCTCTGCGTTCTGTGGCTGATTCTTCCGGATAGTATTAATCAGGTGAAGGCATCCCTGCCTGCTGAGTGCTGAACCAATACAATTTGACCATTTGTTCGTCGTCATATAGGTCCAAGGGATGCCTCCGGTCGCGAAAAACCCTCTCTCTCCTAAGAGCTGCGGCATGTTGAATCGCGTATAATATGGCAGCCATCTTGGAATGAAAGCTTACCGTAATTGATTGATGGTAGTTAACGCTATCTTTTTAGCTGTAGTAAAGTAACCGCTGTTTCTGAAGTACTTACCGCTAAAAACCTGCGGTAACTTTTTATGCGATGGAAAGTTAACGCTAAAATTAAATTTAACGCTGTTTCTGGACTTACCGCTAAAATAGGGGCTAAACGCTGCATTAAAAGTTTTTTGCAACGGGTCCCTGTGCTATCATCTATGGTCTATGCTTTTTTGAGCATTGATGTTTAATATCTTGCGCAGCATTCTCTTTTTTACACCCCTACATCAGCATCAATCATAACAAGGAAATAATTTTTGTTCATGCTCATAAATATATAATATCATTTATTATCCCAAATCTGCCTCATATAATTATCATGCAGCACATTACAATTAGTATTGCACAGTACCCATAGCATACCAGGTACTTATTCAAAACATGAAGTTAAAGGGTCAGTGACGCAAAGACGTAACTCCATTTTGGCCATTTTGAGAAAAAGTGGTTTACATGTATGTGTCACTGAGCACTTGGGCCTGAAGGAGTTAAGTCTATATTTTACTAGCCATTGACTTCAATGGGGTGTTGGGTGGAGTTAAGCCTTTGTGTTTCCTGGAAAGCCCACATTTTTCTGAACATTTTGATATCAAATAATCATTTTGGCAAAATATGGAGTTACGTCTTTGTGTCACTGAACCCTTGAAATGTAAGAAATGATCGACTAGTCCAATTTGTGAACTTCGCATGCACATCCATCCCTTCCGTTGGTTGTAAGACACACTTACAACAATCGCTTCTAGGTAATTTTTCTGCCTCAACCGAATGCCCAACTCCAACACTGAACCAAGCACTCTACTTAACCCTCACAAGCAAGAATGGCCCTATTGCAGTCAAACCTGCTTTAGTGACAACCTGCCTACAAACTTACAAAGACCACATTTTTTGTTTCCCTTGGGCGGTCGCTATAGGCAGGTTCAACTGTATTATGGCTCATAGCTTGCTTGCTTGCTAGAGGGAAGTCCCTATCGTATTTTCAAGAGTTCTTCGAGACAGTCCAGCAAGAGGCGTATGTCCTCCGGCTCCGACATGCGATGACCGCCCTCTTTGCGCAGGATCACCTCCACGTTCTTGCTCTCCAGGCGCTCGGCGAGGTCAACGGACGTTCGAAACGGCACGGTGTCGTCTTTCATCCCGTGGATCAATCGTATCGGCTGTTTGACGGGCATGGGGTTCTGACTGAGACATCTTGTGTAGTGCTTGTCTACGAAGTTATGTGGCGTGGTGTGCGTTGAGTCACCGGGTGCTGAGCCTCGAGCCTGTGGGAAGAGAGTGGGGTATGAAATGAAGTTTAGAACTGAACTCAATGGAATGGATATCTGGGGGGTGTTTCACAAAGGCTAAGATCGACTTTAAGTTGGACTTAACTATGACAGGCCTTTCATGCCACTGTTTGCTCTCACCATTTACTGGCATTGGTCTCTCAAGGGACGTACAAATCATGGTCACAAATCTACAGAATTTACATTTCTTGATAATTCATTATTGAAGGAAAATATATTATCTAAGATCATAATGGTGAAAGCAAACAGTAGCATGAACGGCCTGCCATAATTAAGTCCAACTTAAAGTCGATCTTAGCCTTTGTGAAACACTCCCCTGGAAAGATATGTAAGGGTGTTTGAACATATAATTGGGAGAATATCTAAGCCAAAATTATTATTGTCTGATTGAATTTTAAACCTTGCAATGAGTTGTACAAAAGACGAACAGAATTTTACAAACAATACAAACACACATTGTGCTGTCTATTATGGTGTTTTTCTTCATACATCATCTTTAATTACACAAATGTTTTAACTTCTTGATCTGTTGAGCCATCTATTATCATTGGAAAATAGGCAGACTTTCCTTGGCCATAAAATGCTATGAAAGGTAAGGCCATTTAAACCAACAACAGCAATTAAAAAGAAGGTGATGTTATTTGTGTAAGAGATAAGAATAAAGCAATGATGATGTCATCTTTTTCGGTCCTAGGGGTGGGGGAATTCTCTTTCACTAATTTCCTTTTATTTTCCTCAAAGTTTCCTTTTCAGGGACTAGACTAGATTGTGAGTTTTCCAGAGTTAAACAAAAATCCACTCCTGTACATTATGTTTTGTTTTGGTGCGTTGTTTTGTTATATCTAATATTTCCTTTTCTTTTTCTTTTTCTTTTTGGGCTACACTACTCACCTCGTGTACATGCCCCCTCTTCTGTTCAGTGTAAGACAACGGCCTGTCAAACTGTACAGCGGTAGCTACCCCGAGAAGAGAATGGATGCGCTCCGGTCTCTCTAGTGCTAACAGCAGCATGATTGCCCCGCCCATACTGGATCCAACAAGAATCTAAATACACAGAGAAGACAATGATTTACAGTAAAACATGATGGAACACTTTTGCAATAGAGGGCCAAGCTCAAAGATGGAATGACTTTTTTAACTAAAGTACTGGGGTCTTTTTAATTTTGGTCACCGGATGTAATTTCAATCACTGTCAGCCTACTTCAATACATAAGAAATCTGGGATAATTTTGTTTAGTTTTCCTGTTAGCTACTTGAGTTGAGGCAATATGTGAAAATGTACATGTACTATTGAGTTCATAATCAAGCAATATAGATAAATGTTGAGAAGCGCCAAGCATGTCCATCTACATATTGGGGGGGGGGGGGAGAGAGCAAGAGAGAGAGAGAGAGAGAGACAGAGGAGAGGAGCAAGAGGGAGAGAGGACCAAATAAATGGAACACCAAGGAAAGCTAGAAAATAGGAAAGAGAAAAACTGAGATAGAAAAATATGAGGGACAAAGGGAGAAGAGAGAGAGAGAGAGAGATTGTTTGAACAAAACTGACCCTTTTTTCTAACCTGCAAAAAGACAGTTCATTCACGACATGTAAAGAGGAAAAAAAAAGACAGACAGACAGAAAGACAGATAGAGAGAGACAGAAAGATAGGATAGAGATAGATAGATAATTTGAACAAAATTGTTCCTTCTTTCTCACCTGAGGACCAACAGTGAGTTCATCAAGGACTGCTAGAGCATCTGACTTCCAAATGTCAAACAACTTTTCTCCTTTCCTCATCTCCCCTATGGACTCGCCTAACCCCTGGTAGTCAAACCTGGTGAAAGAAAATAGCTCTAAAACATTAACCTGTTGACCACTGATGTAATTCCCATAGGCTTAGTACTGGGACCATGCAGTTCTGGTAGGCATTCAAGGGTTAAAGATAAACTTGAGTTCTGGTAAAAAAAAGAAAATCAATTCTCACAGAATCAAACAAAACTTACACTGAATGTTCAACATTACAAATAAATGTCATGTGCCAAACAGTTTTGGAAGAAAATGTATACTTGCTGAGTAATGAGCATAGAAAGATAAGAAAATCAGGTAGTACTAGCCCCGACACCATTTGTGTAGTCCCATATACATCTTTCTGTGTACAGTGCCTGTTACTTTACCAAGAGTGGGCCAAATTTATTATGATTTTGATGACTCCAGAACCTTGCAGTGCACACCAATACTGTACTAACATGCTACACGGTCAACTTTTTCCGATCCATTCCACACCTTTTCTTTCACAATGCAATCGCATTACCAGAACTCACCTTTATCTATAATGGCAATCAAACCTTTGTAATTTAGTTCACTTGTGTGAAAGCAGAAAAATAAGAGAAGCAGAGTGGCACTTTGTAAAAGAAAGCAACCAAAAAAAACAAGAAAGTTATAAATGTTTGCACCTTGAATTACATTTACGAGATCACTGATGCTAAGTAAATGTCACATGGGGGATTTGGTCGACTGTACGTGACATATCCTTGATCAACTCTCTACATTGTATATACTGAAATACATAATTATATAATGACAATAATATTCCGCTTTTATAAATCGCTTAATACAAAGTCTCCAAGCGTTTCATAGATATACATGTACTTTTATACTTTTTTTGCCCCCAAATCGCCACTTGTCCTTCAAGCACTTCTACATTTTATTAAATTATAGGTTATTATAGACATTTGACAAAATACAGACAAAGAAAATAGATTCTACATAGAACCAAAAACAGTTACATTTAGAGTATTGTTAATGCTTTACAGTTCAGTATGAAGAAAGTAATATGAGAAAAGTAATATGAGAAAAGTCAGATCTTTTTATGTCATGATGCCAACTGAAAGGTTAATTTTTTTAAAAGAATTGAATTTGAAGAAAATCTTAATCAAATCTTTAGGATAAAAATGTCTTTTAAAAATAGACTAGATTTTCTATGGACTAGATCTAGATCTATGCAAGATTTGTCCAACAAAAACAAAATTAAAGAAAGTTAGACTTCTAGGTCTATTTTAAAATGTTCTTTCAAAAAAAAAAATAATAATAATAATGGAGATGATAATGATAATAATTAATATTAGTATTGTCTTTGATAAAAACATGATAAAAATAATGATAGGGTCTAATAAATAACTAGACTCTAGACTAGATATCTAGACCCCATATTGTTTGTGATGATAATAATCATCATCACACACACAAAATAGACCTAAAATAACAATATGATCAAGTTTTAAATGTTTGAAGGAAATAAAATGTTAGAATAGATCTACATCTGATAAAACAGGTCTAACAAGTTAGACCTAGATCTAGTTTGTCATGAAATTTGACTTTGCAATTGAATTTGAATTGTTCATTTAGATCTAGATCTAGAAATTCTGTTCCTATAACTAAATCATGCTGTACTGTTAGTTCAACTTTGTTTACACTTAACTTACATTCCCTACTAGATCTAGACCTAGACCTAGGTCTACAATTTACTTTTATAATAAATGAAAACAACAAACTTCGACCCTTCAATTATTTAGATGCACTTGACCTCTGTTGCACCCCCTCTGCAGAGAACTAGCTAGGACCTTAAGAAATCACTGAACCGTAACGCGGGATTGAAGCGAAAACGTACCTAACAAAGGCATGTCCGCGCCGCCTGCAGTAGGCCTCCAGAGCCACGGCTTTCCCGCCGGTCATGTTGCTCATGTAACCCGGCAAAAACACAACGCCCGGGTCTTTCCCGGGCGTTTGACGAAACGCTATTGAGGATGCGTGTGTCCTATGTAAATGTTCTAAACTTTCTCTGTCATCTGTCATCATGAACCGCTGATGCACTTGCAGGCGGGTATTGGATAATTTAGGAGAAAGACAAAACATTCGTAAACAACACCTAACCCGAAAAAAGCACAAGGGCGCTGACATTTTGTTTCTCGTCACTCAGCGCAGCCGCTTTAGATTTTAAATGCAAGCTTTTTGTGTAGTACTTATGTTGAAATTATTAAAACCTATTCATGTAAAATATAAGTCGTAAATTTACTGTATTTTTATAATATGATAAAAACAAGAATGCTTCCCAGAATTCTATTAATTCATCTCATAAATTATGATTTTAATGACGAATTTCCGCGCTCTAAATTTACCAATTTAAATATTAAAAATAATCATAATGATTATTACTAGATTTATAATTCAAAACAAAATATGTATCCTAAATTTTTGTAAAAAATATTTTATTAATCGTGATTTGAACAAAATAATTAATTTAAATGTCTTGTCTTATCGAAAACCTTATTTTTATTACAATTTTGCCGATAGTAATTCTGGTTACAAAATTGGCAATCTCGAATTCATTCATTCGACGGATTTACGCTTTCCGTAGCGAAACCACACGAAATCCAAGCGAAATTACTGGAAATACCTGGAATTTCGAAGGAAAATAGTGAAAGGGTTCATTTGGTATTCATTCCTTCTAAACGTTGATTGAAATGGGAAGGCGAAAGGTGAGAAGAAAATACAGATTTAGTCGAATATTCAGTGCTAGCGCTGTGACTGTATTGACTTGTGTTGTGTTGTGTATGATTGTGAGTGCATTGCCATTGATAAAAAATACGTTTGTTAACGTTGTCGAATGGTGGGAATGCGGGGCCACGGCCGTTGATTATTTACGGCATTATTATCATGACCTTTCACGTTACAGTATGTTGTGCATTGGGAACACTTGTGGCTGTGAAGCTATGAGTATGAGGTGAATAATTGTGTGTTTGGCCTACATTCAGCATGCATTGGCAACAGTAATTACCGATGTGATTGACAAAAACTATTTTTGAAAATTGACCGATACTTATCGACTCAATTGAAGCAGTAGGGGCGCCGGTCCGAGAATGAGAATCATCTGCATAAACAAGGAATAAGGATTATCTCGTAAACATGGAGAAATTGCGTCTTAAAAAAAAGGATCGTTCACATTTTTGCGCCCGTTCTTTTCATCAGGGCTCTTCGGGTTTAGGGTTCCCGAATGGCGCGCCGGTGGTGCAAAAATCAGATTCCGCGTAAGAAAATAACCCCAGTTCACCATCTACTTTTGTGGGTTGTCCGTCTTCCCGAGGATTTATCGCTCATAAATTGGAAGTCTCTGTTCAAAGTCAATGTAAACAATTTCTAACATGCATCAAGAAAATCATTGCGGAATCCGTTTTTTGCACCGCCAACGCGAGAATCGGAAATAAGAATCCTCCGCGCAAATGCAGAGAATTGTAATTTTTAAGGACGCGTCCGTCCACCTTTACAAAGACGATCCTCGTTTATGAGAACACTGCACTCGACTCCTTTTCATACTACAGTAAATAATTGCTAGTAAGATTCCTACTCCGACTACTCGTACATTTTACGGTTACGAGTACAAACTACAATGGGATGTCATGCATGGGCCCGATGAGGTCTAACTGTAACGATAATGGACCTCGCGTTATAAGTGCTGAAAAGTACACAATTTTGCACACTTCCTGCAAACATACAAAACAAATGGGAGAACATATAAATTATGGTTATATATGGTTTTATGGGCACTTTAAATTGGCTAATCAGCATTGTCACTTGGATGCAATGCAGGACAACATTCCCATTTGTTTCAACATAAAAAATGACATAAAGTTCAATTACTGGTATTCAAAATCTATGACTCAGGAGGGTGTTTTCTTCTTAGACAACCTCTAAGAATACTCTACATACATGTACCCACAATGAACATAATAACATCCTTTTTTTTTCCTGTTTTCATATAAAGAAAATGTTATCAAGGATTGAATCTCCATGTAGTTGTATATTTTCGTTTTTTTTAGTAATTGTTATTGTTTGATTGTAGAAGGAAGACAGTGACTCTTCAGAGCGATGGGAGTCTGATTCATCCGTCGATGTTGAAGAAGTCTCAACATCCGATGAAGACCAAGGTAATCGAAGGATCACTCGTCAGTCCACCCGCATCGTTACCAGGGCAACAAACCAAGGTAAATTGTAAAGTAGTGTTGTATCGTCATTATTAAGGGTGTTTGCTAGTCTGCAGACACACTCTGCAGGCACAATTCCTGAAGCCTTGAGCAGTGCCTAGCTCTGTCTGTCTCCGGCTTTGTCTGGATCAGCTAAAGTAAAAGAGCCTAGTCTCACGTTGCATTGAGTGCAGACACTTACGCACAGCCACTGACAAAGGGTTTGTGCCTGCAAACTATTCCCCCCACCCCCCCCCCCTCCCTTGAACAAAATGAATGGTAGGAAAACATTCTTTGAATGCTATGAGCACCTTAGGGTAGCTGGGGGGGGGGGTGTTTCACAAAGATCCTTAGTTGGACTTAACAATCACGGAAAGTCGTTAGCATCTTGAAAATATTTTGAAAGGCAAAAAACGTTGATTCAAATCTTTCATATTTTCTATTATTTTGAAAGATTTCATGTGCTAGATGTGGAATTCATGAAAAGTCTAAAATACTTGAATTTTTGCTTTTGAATATATTTTATTTCAAGGCTACAAATGGCTCTCCATAATTTTTAAGTCCAACTTAGATTTAAGTTCGACTTAGAATCTTTGTAAAACACCCCCTGGGCAATAACCAGGGTAATAATAGGACTTTGTAGGCACCTTTAGCATCCCCTAGTACATGTAGTCTATCCCACTAATCCCAGGCCTGTCTCTCACATATCCTATACCTGTGTTTAAACTCTCTTATCAGTATTTTGTAATCCCATGCCTGTTTTTCCGCACTCCTTCATTTATACTTCATGTAGAGTATACCAGGGCCCCCTCTTGCAAAAATTTGATATCAATCCCAACTACATGTGTATGTACATTAAGAGATAGGAGACTGCAAACTTGCGATTGATTGGGTGACTTGCGATTGATTTGGATCAATCGTAACTCTTTGTAAAACGGGGCCCTGGTATACCTGTGCTTAATCTCTCATCATTATGCCTCTATCCTGTGTTTCCATTTCAGTCATGAGGATGCGAGGCCAATCCCCCATGAAGACTGGCAAGGGAGTGGACAGGAAGACTTCCGATAGCTCCGACAGTGAACCTACCGTACCCCCCACCGATACCGCCGCGGAGAAGACCAACAACAAGAAAGGCCGCAAGAGGGGGAAGTCAGAGACCCACCACTCTGATACGGAGTCAGGTGCATCGCTTAATGGAGGTAGGTCACATCTGGTACTGGGGCCTGTTTCATAAAACTTGTCATCAATAGCCAATGCTATATTTCCACGACAAACTTGCTTATAGCCAATCAAATGCCATGATTTCAGTTATTCGGTAGCACATACACAGTCATTGTAACTTGTTTTATGAAACGGCCCTGATTGGTTCATCATTGACAATCAACAAATTTGAAAAGGTGAATGGCCTGTCGTCAATTTGCTTTTTCATTTCACTGTGAAGAGTTACAAGCATATATCACTAAAGCCTTGGTCTCATATGCCTTGGGGCTTGGGGAAACCACCAGGGCAAGATATACTGTGATTGTAATGTGCTTCACATAACAAGGAGATACAAGTATTAAAGCGAGTACAACATGGCCTTTGCTCCTTGCTTCTATTTTGTTTAATCCCGAATTGCCACTTTTGTCCATGTTAACTGACTTGTATTTTGTCACCTAGTTGTGTGCAGTTGTCAAATTTGGCAGTCAATGGGTATTATGTTTTATGTTTTTCCCTCAATTGCAACTGTAATATTGTTGTTTGTGCTTTTATGTCCAATATGCTCACATCATGAGGATAAACCGGGAGGTATTAATAAGTAAAGAGGAGAGATAAAATATGGTTTGTTCATAAATATTTCCAGGATTAACTATTTCAACTTATTTTGTAGTATCAGGAGCACCAAAGAAAAAGAAAGAGAGGAAAGCAAATTTTATTCTAATGTGCAATACAAATTGTTTGTTTGTTCATGTCTCCTTAATCAAGATTAATGTAAAGTTCCTAAATTAAAATAAATTAAATTAAAAATTGTTAAAAGGCATGTTTGATTTGAATTAGTTATGGATATTTTTATTTTTCTGTTGAATCAGGAGGCCCAAAGAAGAAGATACAGAAGAAAAGTACAGGTAAAGGTGATGCTAAACTGACCAATGGAGAGCTTTCAAGCGACAAAGAGAGCGGAGACGGAGACAAGAAGAGAAGGAGCAGAATTATAGCAGAACAGCAGCTTTTGAAGTCAGAGAATGTAGAATTGAGGTGTCCCGTTCCTGGTTGCGATTCAAGAGGTAAGATGGATAGATGGAGAGATTGATGGATGAAGCAACTAAGACAGAAGAGAGTACATGCTCTTACACTATGTAACACACTGACTAAAAATTCTTCCTATTTTCATTGTCTAGATATGGTTGTACTCTTGTTAGTCATGAATATTTATTTTTTTTTTGCTATAGAGAAAATTTGACATATATCGAGTCACAAGGTTTTATCACCGAGCAATATTATCATATTGTATTTAATTGAATAGTATTCATGTGATTATACTTAGCTACATGTTAATCCACCCGCAGGTCATTTTACCGGGAAGTTCACCAAGCATCGTACCTTATGGGGTTGTCCCCTCTACCATAACATGACGGCCGAGGAGTGCCAGGCCAAAGCAGACGCGAGGGCAGAGAAGAGACGCAATCGGCACCAGGAGCAAGAGAACGATGAGAAGAAGGCCTTGCGGCAAACGGTAAGCTATCAGCGTAGTGAAAGCAGCGTTTACATTTGCCACAGAAAACAGAGGTATTTTCTTGTTAACCTGTAAATGTATTCTAACGTCGCCAAACAAAAGTATTCACTTACATGTAGCTCTCTATGGTATAAAGAGTATGACACTTAAATCATTTAAAATATAAAAACCAGCTCACGATTACTGCAGCATTTTTTAACAAAGCATAATAACTGTTATGTTATTAATTCATAGAAAGATACTAGAAAAGTTATACTTAGACAAACTGGCATGCCTTGAGCACACAATGTAAAAAACAACAAAATACTGTGCACTAAACATGCAAGGAATTTCTCCCGGTTTCTTGTAGTCAGAGTAAGAACAGAAAAAATGAAATGCTTTTCTATTTCATTTACTGTTATTCAGAGGTTGTCCCTTACAAAAGTGGTTGAAAAAAGATAATTTTAAAGCTTTTAGAATACTGTACACAAAATACAATTGTACATATAATTTTCAAGAACAGGCCATCCCTGAATTATTTAATAAAAAAGTTATTTGATGTGTACTTTTTTCCCAGTAATCTAATCTGTATTTCCTTTTTGTTTTCTTCACCATTTGACTAACTATTCCATTAACATTGTCATTCAATCGCATTTATTCATACCATAATTGTTGTGCATTACCCTATACATGTTATTCACTTTAATACATCACAATGTACATGTTATGTCTGCCTTATTGTTATCTTGTCTGTTTATTGTGTCTAATGCCTGATTATCATGTTGTGTACGCTTACCGTTTACTGTCAAATTATGGGATATTCATACATGTTTCTGTCACATTTCCTATGTACTTATCTCTTCTTTCCACTGGCTTCTCTTGTGTTACTCTTGTTTTGATCGACTTTGATATGTTTTGTCTTATAACACCTTCTTACATGTAACTCCTCACCTATTAACACTACTCTTTTCTTGTATTATCTTTTCCCTTCATGTAACACCATTTTAAACTCCTCTCCTTTCGACACCAACTCTCTTGCTTAAAACACCAACTTAATTCCTCTGAACACTAATGCCTTTCATGTAACCCCATCTCAACTCCTGTCTTAAAACCTGTGTTAACACCAACCCCATTTCTTGTGAAACCATCTTCACTCCTACCCTCTTAACACCCAACACTACCCTGATAACACCAACCCCTTTTCATGTTACCCCATCTCAACTCCTGTCTATAAAACCTCTGTTAACACCAACCCCATTTCTTGCGACACAATCTTAACTCCTACCCTCACAACACCCAACACTACCCTGATAACACCAACCCCTTTTCATGTTACCCCATCTCAACTCCTGTCTTAACACCAACGCCTTTTCTTGTGACACCATCTTAACTCCTACCCTTTTAACACCCAACACTTACCCTGTTAACACCAACCCCTTTTCATGTTGCCTCATCTCCACTTCTGTCTTTAAAACTTGTGTTAACACCAACCCCTTTTATTGTGACACCATCTTCACTCCTACCCTCCTAACACCTACCCTGTTAACACCAACGCCCTTGGCACTCAATCAGAACTCATCTCGTGCCCAACAGCAAAAACGCTACCAGGTGCAGGAGCTTCGGAGGCAGCGCAAGGAGCTCACCGAGGACGTCAAGGTCAAGAGTCGGCAGCACCGGGAGGAGTTCCACAAGTCCCGGGAGCCCCTCCTCAACGGGATCACGTCGCAGTTTGACCTGGATCTGTTCCGCGAGGCCCAGATGCGGGCCTCAGAGGAGATGGTGCGTGTCCATGCGCAGAGCTTACCGAAACACGACTCTCCGCTCACAGCAAATAGGGTAAATACGCAAGCGTTCATGAGAGTATGAAGGGGGGCATTTCTCAAAGATTCTCAGTTGAACATAACTCTAAGTTGGACTTTAAGAATTACGGAAATCCATTTGTAACCTTAAAATAGAATATATTCAAAAGCAAAAAATCAAATATTTAAGACATTTTAAAAATTCCACATCAAGAACATAGTTGTGATTGATATCAACTCTTTGAAAGACAGGGGGCCCTGACCTTTTTGTTTTCTTTACCATACTGTCAAATAATGGGATTATTCATACACTTTTAATGTTTCTCTCTCTCGCAGGAGAAGTGCGGCTTGGCCCAATCCTGGCGAGGGCACTGTACACAAGCTGGAGTTTGTTTCTAATGTCTGATTCTCATGTTGTATATATATCCTGACCTTTTTGTTGTCTTTACCATACTGTCAAATAATGGGATAGTCATACATTTCTTCTCTCTCAGGAGAAGTGCGGATTGGGGAATCCCGGCGAGGGCACCGTCAAGAAGCTGGAGTTTGTTTCTAATGTATGATTTTCATGTTGTATATATCCTGACCTTTACTGAACCATCAAATACTGGGGTATTCATAATATTCATCTATTTTTCTCTCTCTCGCAGGAGAAGTGCGGCTTGGGGAATCCCGGCGAGGGCACGGTCAAGAAGCTGGAGTTTGGCCGCTTCGAGCTCAACACCTGGTACTCATCCCCTTACCCCGAGGAGTACGCAAGGCTTCCCAAGCTCTACATCTGCGAGTTCTGCCTCAAGTACATGCGCAGCTCCACCATCCTCAGGCGACATCTTGCCAAGTGCATCTGGAGGCATCCCCCGGGCGACGAGATCTACAGGAAGGGCATCAACTCCGTCTTTGAGGTGGACGGCAAGAAAAATAAGGTTGGTTTTGGTTGGAAAATCTTGCACTGGCTGGAAGAATCGAGAGGAGGAGGAGTAGGGGTAGAAGGAGGATTTTGTGGATGAGTAGCTTAAGGAGTGGGATTTCTGAAAGTGGAATTGATATAGGGGAGAATGAATTACTTCATAGAATATGGGACAGAGAGTTGTGGCATTCCATGGTCGCCAACGTCTCAGGACATAGCACTTAAAGATTGTGTTGGAATTTGTATTATCTTCATTGTTGATTGAATGATTGGATGATTTATTTTACTAGATTGTTAAAACAACCAAGGGTCCTACAACTTCAAGTCCTATTAAAGCCCCTCTGCACTAGTTTGACATTATGGGATTAGACCACCCTGCAAGGTCAATGGTGGGTGGTTATCTCATCAACTCAGCTCTCAATTAACATAAGAAAAAGGGGATCATGGGGGACCAATAGTCACCGATTAGGCATTGTTTATATAGAGGGCGCAAGTAGCTGTGAGGAGTGCAGTGGGGCTTTAAAACAACAAAGGGTCCTACAACTTCAAATCCTTTTGAAGAGACATGAGCAGCATTTCACGAGACCATCACAAGTACAAGTTTGCAGACATCCCAATGAAATGTGTGTATTTAAATTCAAGTGCGTTTCAACTTTGTCATTCTCAAATCTCAACCATCAATTTGATTAAATTTTTTCAACCAATAATTAAAAACAATTTACAATCACACTGGTACAATTATAGTATAATGACAGACTGGACCCCTGAGAAGCAATGCTTGTAAATGGGGCCCATTAACATACAATTAAAACAAATATATAATAAAAACATATTATAAAAAACAAAACAAAAAAGACATATGTATATTTATACTTTTACAAAACAATTACAAATATTCAAAAGAATTTTTTTAACAATTTCTTCCATAGCGCAATTGCATGACTAAATCTACTAGTTGGTATCACCGTAACCTATCTTCCTTATTTTTCTTACTCTTATAGATCTACTGTCAGAATCTATGTCTTCTTGCCAAGCTGTTTTTGGACCACAAGACGCTTTACTACGATGTAGAACCATTCCTCTTCTACATCATGACTGAGAACGATTCATCTGGTTGTCACATTCTTGGCTACTTCTCAAAGGTGAATTTCATATTGATCTACTTGTACTACAGGGGAGTGTTTCACAAAGGCTAAGATCGACTTTGATCTGATCTTAACTATGGCAGGCCTTTCATGTCACTAGACCCGCTAACCATTCCTGGCATTGGTTTCTCAAGGAACGTACAAATCGTGGTCACAAATCTACAGAATTTACCTTTTTTGATAGTTCATTATTGAAGGAAAAAATATCATCTAAAGATCATAATTGAGACACCAATGGTGAGAGCAACCAGTGGCATGAATGGCCTGCCATAGATAAGTCCAACTTAAAATTGATCTTAGTCTTTGTGAAACACCCCCCAGGCCAAAAGTGGCACTTCAGAACCATTTGCCACACAAAACTGTATAGCTGTTTTAGTACTATTGCAAAATATTGATTATTTCAATTTAACCACCTTTTGCAAATCTGGACAACTAGTAAGAATTGTCCAAATATTTATGGTTTTAGAGTAATTTTATTGCCATTATATTCATACTTGTGTAGAGCTGCCAACCCTTCCGTATTTGTCAGGAGACTTTTACGATTAAAAAAAAAAAACATTAAAAAAAAAATTCGACTGGGATTTCATGTTATCTAAGTGTAAAGCCTCGGTCACAAATGCCATTACGAACCGCTACGAACGATTTTCAGACAATGGAAAAAGGGAGATACGTATGAAATTATCATTCGTACAAATCTTTTTGACCGTAGCATAACTTGCACATGAGAGCGACTTCATTTTGACTTTCTTTGATCTAGTCTAGTAGATTTCATATTTTCACGATCTTTGCAAACATCTAAATGTGAATGCATTTGTACAAAAGTTTGTGATTGTGTACATGATAAGTTAAATAATAAGGTAATAATTAGAGCCCATTTGATACCTGTCTTTATGCAAAAAGGGGTCATATAATGTAGCGGATAATCCTGAACCCGGCGGGTGAAACAGATTCTTGTTCTTATGAAAATTTCAGCACTTTCTAAACTCAACAATTTTTTGGTCAATTAGCACATGCTTTACGAAAGCCTTGCAGCCGAGCAGTAATTTTTCCTAAACATAGAAAGCATGAAAGCATCTCTGAAGATGTATGCAAATGAATTAAGTCAGACTTATCACGCAGCTTTAACTTATAGCAATGCTTAGAATAAAGGTTGTAAGATGACTTATAATGTGGGGTTTAACAAAATATATATATTTTTTTTTACTTCAATGATATTTAGAGTACCCTGTATGTCAACATCATTTATACAGTCAAACCTGCTTTAGTGACCACCTGTCTACAAAGACCACATTTTTTGTTTCCCTTGAAAATGGTTTTTCATTGAAACACGTGCTGAAGGAACCTGTCTACAAAGACCACTTTTCTCTTGGGCGGTCGCTATAGAAAGGTTTGGCTGTAGTTGTTTCATCAAGGCATCTATGAGTTCATGTTCAAGTTCCACTTATTCTTTTGTTGAGATAATAATTCTTTTCAGCCCCATTATTACGTCCTGCAGGAGAAGAACTCATTTCTGAACTACAATGTTTCCTGTATACTCACCTTGCCTCAGTACATGAGGCAGGGATATGGCAAGATGCTTATCGATTTCAGTAAGTGGACAAGTTACGTAGTTGATATTTTTTAGTGACCTTAAGGGTGATGTAAGTTATTTTCTTCACCCTCTAATTAATGTATGCTTTTTATGATTACCGGTAACTAGATGGACCTTCAACTGCGCACAGTTGAAAATGATACCTCCGCCTTAGAGCAATTTTACAAACCAAAACAGACTGAAGCAATTTTTAGAATTCAAGTTTGATTGTAATCCATTAACAGGTTCTCAGAATATTGTGATTACAAGCTATTTGTCATGTACATTTATAACCCTTTATCTTAGACCTCATTACCCTTAAATCTAATCAGTTCATGGATTTGATCACATCTCTTTGATATAATCCCATTAAGAAGGCTATCTACTGTCTAAGAAATATTAGAAGATTAGTTTTGATCACATCTCTTTATAGTATAATCTCATACTAAAGGCTATCTACTGTCTAAGAAATATTAGAAGATTGGTTTTGATCACATCTCATGGTTATTATCTTATTCTTTAGGCTATCTACTGTCTAAGAAAAGATTAGAAGATTGGTTTCAATCAAATATCATGGTTATTCTAATTCTAAAGGCTATCTACTGTCTAAGCAAAGATTAGAAGATTGGTTTTTAATCATATCTCATGGTTATCAGGCTATTTACTGTCTAAAAAGATTAGAAGATTGGGTTTGCTCACATCTCTTTGTTATAATATCATTCATCAGGCTATCTACTGTCTAAGAGAGAGGAGAAGATTGGTTCCCCAGAGAAGCCTCTCTCCGATCTTGGTCTGATCAGCTACAGAAGCTACTGGAAAGGTGTGCTACTTAAATATCTACATAAGCTGGATGCTAAGGAAATATCCATCAAAGGTAAGAGGCCCTAAATGTGTAAGTCCCTTAAAGCCCCACTGCACTACTTATAGCTCCTTGCGCCCTCTATATAGCAAACAATGCCTAAGTGGTGACCGTTGTTCCCCGATGGTCCACTTTTTCTTATGTTACTTGAGAGCTGATTTGATGAGATAACCACCTGTCAGTGACCATGCAAGGAGGTCTAATCCCACCTGGCCAAACTAGTGCAGATAAGCTTTCATGCTGTAATGTTATTGGTCAGTCCGAGGCATAATAATCACGTCTTTGCCCAATCCCAAGTCCTCCAATCAATTGTGAGTGTGCAGTCTCCTATCTTTTTTATAATTAGTTGCGATTGATATCATTTGCAAATAAGTTGTAAGAGTTGATATCAATGGCAACTATGTACATAAGAAAAAGGAGACTGCAAACTTGCGATTGATTGGAGGACTTTCGACTGATTTGGATCAATCGTAACTCTTTGTAAGATGGGGCCCTGGGTGTGTTTGACAAAGACTAAGATCGACGTTAAGTTGGACTTAACTATGGCAGGACGTTCATGCCACTGTATGCTCACACCAATATGATCTTTAGATAATATATGTTCCTTCAATAATGAATTATCAAAAAATGTAGATTTGTGACCATTATTTATACGTCCCTTGAGAGACAAATGTTAGTAAAAGGTGAGAGCAAACAGTGGCATGAACGACCTGCCATACTTAAGTCCAACTTAAAATCAATCTTAGTCTTTGTGAAACACTCCCCAGATTTTAATAAGAGAGATTGTTGTTCTTTTGGGGTTGTATTTGTTGTTCTTGTGTTTTAATATTGTTTATGCCATCATATCATCATTTTATCATTACAATTACTATCTCCTACTTTTTCATTGTTCCTTGTTCCTGCAGACATCATCCAGGAGACGGCCGTCAAAAAGAGAGATTGTTGTTGTTTTTCTTGTTCTTGCATTGTTATATTGTTTATGTTGCCATATCATCATTTTATTATTACTGTTATCATTTCCTACTTTGTCATTGTTCCTTGTTCTTGCAGACATCAGCCAAGAGACGGCGATTAACCCTTATGACATCGTCAGCACGCTACAGTCCATGTCCATGCTCAAATACTGGAAGGGCAAACACCTGGTGCTCAAGCGACAGGACCTCATCGATGAGTACCTGTCCAAGGAGAAGGAGAGGACCAACGGTCTCAAGCTGATTGACCTCAACAGCTTGAAGTGGACACCGCCCATATGTGAACCGGTATAGGGCCATTCCATGTTAGGGCGGACAGACATTTGAGAGTAGGGTCTGGCCTATGAGTCGTATGTGAACTGGTATGATGCAATTCCATGTATTTAAAGAAAGAGGGACATTTTCAGAGCAGTTTCTAAACATCTTTTCATATGTGAACTGGTATAGAGCCATTACGTTAGGACAGACAGACAATTTGAGAGTAGTGTCTGGCCCTACAAGTCATATGTGAACTGGTATACAGCAATTCCATTTAAAGAAAGAGGGACATTTTAAGAGCAGTGTCTAAACATCTTTTCATATGTGAACTGGTATAGGGTGATTCCATGTAAAGAAAAAGGGACATTTTAAGAGCAGTGTCTAAACATCTTCTCTTATGTGAACTGGTATAGGGTGATTCCACGTTAGGGCAGACGGACAATTTGAGAGTATTGTCTAGCCTTATCAGTCATATGTGAACTGGTATGAAGTAATTCCATGTAAAGAAAGAGGACATTTTAAGAGCAGTGTCTAAACATCTTTTCATATGTGAACCGGTATACAGCAATTCCATGTAAAGAAAGAGGACATTTTAAGAGCAGTTTCTAAACATCTTTTCATATGTGAACTGGTATACAGCAATTCCATGTAAAGAAAGAGGACATTTTAAGAGCAGTGTCTAAACATCTTTTCATATGTGAACCGGTATAAAGCCATTCCACGTTAGGACAGATAGACAATTTGAGAGTAGGGTCTGGCCTAGAAGTCGTATGTGAACTGGTATATAGCAATTTCGTGCAAAGAAAGAGGGACATTTCAAGAGCAGTGACTTAACAACAGTTCATTTGTGAAGTGGTATACGGTGATTGCCTAGCCTGCAAAAGGACATTTTAAGAGTAGGCTTTAAGTACAAGGAACTGGTACAAGGCAATTCCAGAATGGTAAAATACAATATTTTGAGAGCAGTTTCTAAACATCATTTCATATGCAAACTGGTATAGGACGATTTCATACTTTTTAATACAGGACAGTTAGAGAGCAGTTCCTCAACAGCAATTCATATGTGAACTGGTATAGAGCGATTCCACACATGGAAAAGGGGACTTTTGGAGAGTAGACTGTAGCCTTCAAAGCCATATGTGAACAGATGTACAAGTTTAAAGTTGAGAATGTTTTCCAACAATGATGTTTGTGAATGTAAAATGAAGTTCCACGTATACGATGTTCTTGTAATGGTTTTCTCACAAGACTCGAATAGCGGTTACTATTTCAGATTTTGTATTTTGGAAAAGAGAAATGGACCTTTGTATCTTGCAATGGACCTCCAAATGGTCCCCAACAATATGTGAACAGCTCTAGAACTGTGTAAGGTTGAGAATGAGTTGAGTTGAGTTTTCCAATAAAACCTTTTGTTAATGGATGTGAAATTAAGTTCCAATGGGAGCATGTTTTGGGGTAATCTATCGTAGACTTAAATGAATAGATGATTTCTATGTCTAACTTGTGTTTTTGGAATAGACGGAGGGGACCCCGAGGGGACTTAGCAACAGTTGCCAATTTGTGTTAGATTGATTGTTACAAAAATGAATAACTTTTCTTTTTTTTCAATCTTTTTTTTTTTTTTTTTGCTCAAACTTGCACTGACGTGTTTCTCTGTCATGTTCTGCTTCTATTGAAATCAACTAAATACTTAGGGTGGACTTCCCCTTTAAGCCTTTTTTTTTAAATGATGAAGTAATACCCTTCACATTTCTGTATCTTATAATACAGAGCTCAGTGAATACCAGGGGGGTGTTTCACACAGCCTTTTTTCAATGACAAATGGCAAAAATCAGTGACAAATCTGCTGATAACCAATCAGAAGCAAGGATTCACTAGCTTATAACAAAAACTGTCATTTGTCACCGATGACAAGTTTTGTGAAACACCCCCCAGTGGTAGTTTGTTGCACGGCATATCTGAACGTGCCTGTACCAACCATATCTGATCATTCTATGAATTTGATATAATACTTTGATGTCAACTAATGATCATAATACCTGGTGAAATCTGTATATAAAGACCGCTCAAGAGAGACAAAAGCGGTCTTTAAGTACAGCTTCCTTTAGTACAGATCTCAAATAAGAACACCATTTAAAGGGCAGAAGATGTGGCCTTTATATACAGGTGGTAGCTAAAGCAGGTTTTGACTTTACTAGGAAACATCTGGGACTCTAAATAACAGAAATACATTAGACTTTCCCATTCTATTTACTCATGGGCAAAATAAATCAGGAATATTTTACTTTTCTTCTTTTTTGGTTGATGGGGGGGGGGTTATTAAATTAATGAACTAAGTACTTATGTAAAACATCTGCATAAAAAAGCATTATGATTCACTTTTGTTTGAATCTAAAAAATGTGTGCTTTTACGTTTACAACCAGTGTTATTTACAAGTTCATAACAATGAATCTATTCAATGAATGTTTTTCTCTGATTTCTCCTAATAGTTTGTGTTTGAATTTTCAAAACATGTATTTGATATGTATAAATTTGTATGTAAGCAGAATTGGATGCATTTCTGAGACAAATTTAAAAAAGCACAAAGGCATAAATCATATGTGTTATTATTGTAAAGTTATTTCTTGAAAAAATATTCTGTATACTTTTTGAAGAATTTTTTTTGTATTGATGTAAATATGTCAGTTGAAATGTTTGTTGAAAAAAATAAGTGATTGTACAGTGAAATGTAAATGAATGAAGAACTAGAAATCAAACAAAACTGTCTCACTTGTCTGGCATTTTGAGTCCTAAAGTGTCCCTTTATTTTACTGATGAACAATTTCTGTGATTGAGAGTGTACTGTGACCGCAACATTGCAAACTTGGTACATACTGTATATGAGCGAATAATATAAGTTGACCAAGAATTCGTTTTTCATTTCTAGAATTAATTTATACATCTCGGCAGTAGTGACTGATCTTTAACTAACATTCAAATTTAAATTGAGTTTTATAACTACATCTAGGTCTCATTTCTTTTTCTAGCATAGCATCGTAACTGATATTTTATTTCTACAACTGATTTTTACATCATATATATTTTAATATTTAATAGAAGTGACTGATCTTTAGAAGAGAGAGAGAGAAAGAAAGGATGAAAGATACAAATACAGTGGAACCTCGCTATAAAGAGCTCTGCAATGACGAGGCATTTGTTATAAAAAGATGATTTTGCTGGTCCCAGTGCTTTATATTCTTACATCATTTCACCCCGATATAACAAGGTAATTTCCTTGGTCTCGAGGACCTTGGAATAACGAGTTTCCACTGTATATAGAGGAAGAGGACATTAGAGGGGTAGAGTGATGAGATGATGGTGTAAATGGGTACTGCCAATTGCTGGGGTAATAATAATTGCAAGGCCCTCAGAAAAAATAGAGCATTGATGTTGTTGATACTTTCCTGGGTAAACAAAATCATCATTATTATTATCATCATCGACATCGTTATTACCATTATCATCAAAAGACAACAATAGTCTCTTTTTTTATTAGTATAGCCTCGTCAGTATAAATACTTTTCTCCGAAGGGAACTGCAATGTCGTTATGTTATTACCCTGGCTCTTGTTAAGCTACCATAAAACGGCTATACCGTGTGAGTCAAAAAAAAGTTAACACCTAAAAAATTGCTAATTATTTTTAAAATCATCTATGAACAGTAAATTAGTATACATCTTATGAAAGAGTGTTTTATCCTAAATCATTTGGTATCATTTTTGTGAGGTATGTGTTCACGCTTGGATGAATAGGATGCATTGTTTGCGAAAGTGCGAATATAAATAGCAATTTTCTAGGTGTGCACTTTTTTTTACTCACACTGTACACGTTTAGCTGAAAAGGCAATAGATACAAAAGATACACAAAATAATCAATTGGACCAATGTTTAGTAATTCAGTAAACATTTTATTAACAGATAAAGATTTTTTTTCCCATTCAAATCAATTTCACAGCAAATCACAATGGACGGCTTTAATAGCATATATAGATTCAAACTGCATGCAATTCATTCATGCAATTGGGGTGCATGTAATTAGTCTCGAATACACAGAGAAAGACTGGGGTATACATAATACAGCGTAGTATTGTATATCCTATCATATTATTATAATAATTTTTGCTCATTTTTAAGAGCTTGACAGAAAGCCAAACTTTCCTCAAATGCATTCTTAATCATTGACATTAAGAGATAACAAATGGGCAATACACATTCAATAGCCTGTGGCACTTGATGAAATAAATATTAGGTTTCTAACTGGTTAAGAGGATAAAAGGCTAATGATTATAATGAGAGATGAGAGTGATGATTAGTGGTGACAGGACGGAAATTCAACATCGATGCAAAAAAAAAAGTGTCAAGGAAATTCACAATTCATCCATATTTCAAATTTCATTTGACAATTTTTACTGCAAATAAACTTTCCATCAATACGTATATGTATACTACAAAACAAAAATTAAATCTTTACAATAATGACTATTTACATTTCAGAGAAATAGGTAAGTATTAAACACGTACATTGAATTATGTATATTTGCCTAGAGGCAGGTACATCTACTAGTGCAGATATAATACATATGAAAATGATCTTTGTATGAACAATTCTGGGAATGTAATGATCTTCTATACAAATATAATGTACATTTATACAAATAATTCTTATTGAGGATTATAGCCGGGAGCTTTATGAGGTCCACTTTCAATGACCTATCCTGATTTGATAAGTTTATTCAAGAGCATATCATCAAGACAAAAAATGTAAAAGAACACACTCCACTTCCCTCCAATCTTCAGAAGAATAAATTGCATAGACACTTCTCGTATAATAAACTTCTGCGTGTATAAACAAAATCAAAAATACACTTTCATCAACAATATGTACAAGTATATATATATATATATATATATTCTGATAGGAAATTCAGGTTTAGATATATATCGCAATAATATAAAACGTAAATGCATATTCAATATATACACTGGTTAGTCATCATAACTTTGTTAAAAACACTTCATTTCAATATTTGTTTTTATATATATATCAGCAGGTTTTATTCAAATTTACATGTTTGTTCTTCTCATAGGGTAGAAAACAGCTTGGACAAGCCTTAATAATCTGGATCGTCCTTGTTGAAGAGGCTTCTCTGGTCAGAAGCTCTACTTCCTGATACCCCTCTGCTAGCCCTACCCTGACTACTGACTCTACCATGGCTGGCAGCGGACTTGACATCCTTAGATCTCGTCTTGCCCTCTTCGTCACTGCTTCCATCACCGACAATCGCTTCAATGGCTTGCTCAAAGAAGTTCAAAGACTCCTTGGATCCGTGATGTTCTTTCTTGTCGTCAGAGGCCTCACCGTTTGCAGGGAAGGTCTGGGTTGGAGTTCCTTGCTTTGGTTCGGACTGGCATCGCCATTGACTGAATCTCTTCCTTCCGACTTGCTCGACTCTGCCGATGATGCCCGATCTTTGCTGGTCTTTGGTAGACTCTTCCTGGATCCACCACTCCCAGTCCTCCTGGACCCTTTGTCCGAAGCATAAATGTCTTCAGCAGCCTTGAGGCTTTTCCTTGAGGCTTTGTCTTCATCCTTCTTTGAAGACTTCTTAGACTGAAGGCTTGTCTTTGAACCACTGACATCATCCTTGGGTTTTACACTGTGTCTGGATCCATTCTGGCTTCCATATGGAGAGTTTCGTGCCTCTCCACCTGTCCTTGACTGCCCACTCTTCTGAGACGCTGTATCTGAGAAGTCTTCTTTATCCCTTTTAGGTTCCTTCTTCTCTTCCTCTTCATGATCAGAATACTTGTCATCCTCCTCATCTGAATATTTCCTGACATCCTCATCCTTAGCAGAAGCACTTGAAGCCCTTGAAGAATGCCGGGAACTCCTGGTGGACGACCTCTCACTCGCTCCATCATAATCATCCTCATCCTCATCCACATCATTGTTAGCATTCTCATTGTCCAGCTCATCCTGCTCAGCAGGGTCGGCACCGTTGCCAGAACCTGAGACGTCTCTGTAGTCGAAGGTGGACTTGAGATGTCTTTGCCTCTCCTGCTCAATGGACCTTGCAGTCAGCATCAGCTCAGCATTTTCTTCCAACTCGAAGGCATCATCCATCTGCACTTCCTCTTCCTCTTCTTCTAGGACTGTATCCTGTTTCTTTTCTTCCTCTTCGTCCTTCTCCTCAATGGTCACCTTCTTCTCGGACCTCGCCGATTGTCTGCTGTTGGATGGTCGGCTCAATGCAGAGTGCCTGGAACCCGAGCCGGCCCTGACGCCGGTGGCGCTACCAGGTTTGCTCCCCATTGACGGGCGAGAGGCTTGGGAGGGTGCACCCCGCTCACTTGTTCCATCTTCGCTCTGCTTCACCGCTGCCTCCTCGATGGTTCTTACCGAATGCTGCATGGAGGGCTGTGGCCATTTCCTGGCTCCATTCACAGGTGCTTCTGTAGATTCAATATAGAATGAAAATTCATGTAGATTTAGGCGATGTATTTGCATGATTGCACATATCATCAATAGGCTGGTATAGAATCCTTGCGAAAAACACTTTCAAACATTGCAAATAATCCCATAACTTCAGAACTTTTGTTAGAAATTGTGATCCTCTGTTTAGAGCCTCAGAGCATAAATCTGTATAAAAGTTAGAATATCTTTGTGGCTTTGAATACCGGTACACAAAATGAACATTGTTGGATATTTCTTGCGAGTTGTTTATTTCTTTTTGGACAAATCTAAGGAATTCTATCATATCCACTGATACAACCCAAGCTTTTTAGTTCATGGGATGATTGTATAAAATTCACTGCTGTTGCCTTTATGAATACAAATATCAATGAAACTAGTACTTCTGGGGAGTGTTTCACGAAGACTAAGATTGACTTTAATTTGGACTTAAATATGGCAGGCCATTCATGCCACTGGTTGCTCTCACCATTGTCTCTCAATTATGATCTTTAGATAATATATCTAAAAAGTTGATTTCTGTAGATGTGTGACCATGATTTGTACATGTATGTCCCTTGAGAGACCATTACCAGTAAATGGTGAGAGCAAACAGTGGCATGAACAGCCTGCCAGAATTAAGTCCAACGTTAAGTTGATATTAGTCTTTGTGAAACACTCCCCTGATGTTCATTATCTTCCTGGCAAAAGAGAGAAAAAATGATAAACCTTCCACTATAGTCTCCATGAGACAAATTTCACAGCTGTTTATACACAGCATTACAAAACAGAATATCACAATTAGATCCACACAGAAAAGGCATTCAGCTCCTATTACATAAACTGAAAGATGCAAAGAAGGAGTGATCAAGGGTTAAGAAAATGGTAGTACGCACCTGGATCCAGAATAAGAGCTGTTCCCGCCATCGTCCACTGTTCTACAGGCAGAGGGCATGCAAGGTCAAGGGTGAATACACACACCTGATATATAAAAAAAGAAATAAATCAAATTCAATTAAAGTAAAACAAATATAGTACTTTACTCATGGTACAATCTAAGAATAATGCATTATAAATGAAACAATGAAGTATTTTTTCAGTTTTACTTTGAAAGCATGAACAAGAATTGGGAAGCTAAAATACTTTCCAGGGATTAAAGAGAAAGTTGAGTTCTAGTAAAGGAGAAACATAATTTGTGAACTTTTTAACTCTTATTATGTCGCTTTTTATATATACATGTATATATATATATATATCCCCTGAAAAGGAGGACTCTTCAAATGTCCTCATATTCAAAATTGTATTACTAATAACTGAAGTGTTTGGACCAAATCTTTGTAACACATGTGTGTGTGTAGGCCCATTTACCCATTTGTGAGTGCAGTGCATATGTGCTTTTCAGCAAGATTTAGTCAATTTCTTACAATTTTGATGATTCCAAGTCTTCCGTACACACCAATTATTATCAACTACGTAATCACTCTTTCCTAACTGCTTCTAAAAGTTTCTTTCCTAAAAGTAATTCCAAGACCAGGGCACCGTTGCATATTGTATTAAGCGCTATATAAAAATTAAATATTATTATTATTATTATTATTAGTTTATCTTTAAAGCCCCTCTGCACTAGTTTGGCCAGGGGGATTAGACCTCCCTGCAAGGTCACTGACGAGTGGTTATCTTATCAAATCAGCTCTCAATTAACATGAGAAAAAGAGGATCATGGGGGACCAACAGGTACCGCTTAGGAATTATTTCCTATATAGAGGGCGCAAGTAGATAAGTGGTGCAGTGGGGCTTTAAATAACCAAGAAGACCCACCTGTCTTGACTGATTCAAGAAGACTGGACACTGATAGACACCCAGCTGCGGAGGACGTTGCTTCTCATCGTCTTCCTTCTCTCCTGCATCGGAAGACGGCTGCTCTTGACTCGCTTCGTCGTTATTGGACTCGGAGCTCCGAGCAGTCTCTGGTTCTTGATCAAGGAGTATTGGTCGGATGTACATGCCGGGCATGGATGAGAGTGAGGAGCTGGAAGGAAAGATGTATGGGCAATTAAAGGATGGACATTGAAACATGATCAGGGACCCTTTATCACAAAGCATTTTTCAATGACAAACATCGGTGACAAATCTGTTGATAACCAATCAGAAGCAAGGATTTCACTAGCTTATAATAAAAACTGTCATTTGTCACTGATTGAAAGTTTTGTGAAATGGGGCCCTGACTAATAACTCTTCCGGCACTCCAACTAACTTCCTTTATTTTCTAAAGCCTTATGGTTCAGATCTCTAAATTTTTAGGTCATGAAAAACAAGACCGAAATTGTGTTCACCTCATTCTGCAAGGCACACAACAAAATATTCAAAGATAATAGCTAAATGTACACATTACAAAATTGACAAAGAAAACGTGTTTCATGTCGCTGTAATAGGGGTTTGGGTGATAATCAGACATTAACTTGAGCAAGAAATTTGCTCAGGGCTTTATTATGTTAAAAAGTATCTAGGTTTTAGGCTTGAGGATTTAGGTCAGGTTTATGATTGGGGTTGCGTTAGGATTTGACTTACAGTCAGGTATAGTATTAGATCCTTTGTGGAAGTTTAAGAATTTGATTTATTGTTATGAATTGACAAGCAAGTACTACTGCCATCAGAGCATAATAATATTCGGTTCTTGTATATCACATTATACAAAATCTATATGCGCTTCCAAAGAGCTTTGGAAATTATTACCCTAGCTATATAGCTCCGTCAGCCATAATCAGCGCACGGTACATTTCAAGGAATAATCCTACCAGGTACCCATTTACCTCACCTGGGTCGAGTGTGGCAAATGTAGATTAATGTCTTGCCAAAGGACATTAGTGCCGCGGCGAGACTCGAACCGCGGACCTCGTGATCCAAAGTCCGGCAACGTATCTACTCGACCACGACACCTCCAGGATTGGGGCTGGGGTAGGATTCGGCTAACAGTCAGGTATAGTATTCAATCATTTGTGGGAATTTAAGAATTGTGCTTATTGTTATGAATTGACGAGCAAGTACTACTGCCTTTGGAGGGTCAGTGACACAAAGACGTAACTCCATATTTTGCCAAAAAGAGTATTTGATTTCAAAATGTTCAGAAAAATGTGGGCTTTCCAGGAAACACAAAGACTTAACTCCACCCAACACCCCATTGAAGTCAATGGCTAGTGAAACATAGACTAAACTCCATAAGGCCCAAGTGGACCTCTATCTTTAAACCACTTTTTCTCAAAATGGCCAAAATGGAGTTACGTCTTTGTGTCACTGACCCCTCGATGTGTCTTACAATGGTTACAGGCTTACCTTGCCGGTGCTAAGCAGCCATGTTCTAGATCCCACCTAGCTCCGTCCAGATAGACTCCTCTGATATACATGCCCCCAGGGTGGATGATGTCAAAGCTATCTTCGGTCAGAGAGCGGGACACCTCGCACGAGATACCAACCTGAAACGCAATCAAGAATGGATTATAAGTGCTGTTTAAGTATCAAGTTTATTAGTCTTCCAGAAATCAATGCAACAACATTGATGGTAACTTGGCCATTAATGATATTTTTTATAGAAAGCTTGATTTGATTGGCTTTTGAGTTAAATGTTATTGCCATTGTAGATGATATTGATCGCAAAGCTGCCATCAATGGTAAGTTTTATGCAAGAGCGCCCAGATCTAAAAAAGGTCTTTTCAACAAATTCAGTGAAATAACATGTTCATTGATTGTGTCGACACAATGTTTTCTCAGTCATAATTGACTATCAGATTATACTCTGAACACTGCTCCCAATCAAACTGGGGGGGTGTTTCACAAAGATCCCAAGTTGAACTTATCTCTAAGTTGGACTTAAAAATTATGGAAAGCCGTTAGCATCTTTGAAAATATTTTGTAAAAGTTATTTTAAAGGCATAAAATGTTACTTCAAATCATTCATATTTTCTATTATCAAGGAAATTTCATATTCTTGATGTTGAATTTTATGAAAAGTCTAAAATACTTGAATTTTTGCTTTTTAATATATTTTATTTTAAGGCTACAAATCGCTCTCCATAATATTTAAGTCCAACTTAGAGTTAAGTTCAACTTAGGATCTTTGTAAGACGGGACCCAGGACTCAATTACCTCTGACATAAGACAGCCAGCAAGGGCAGCCTTCTCCTGTCGTAGTGAAGTGATGACGGCCGTTGGGTTGACCAATCCTCCCATCCAGACAGACAGGAGATGACCCCTGGGTTCGGTCTGGACGGGAGCAACGTCAGGGGCGGAGCGGGGCACCTTGCCTTCCTTGATCCAAGCCTGCATCTGGTCATGGCGCTTCTTCAGGTCTATCAGTGAGATATCATAATGATGATAACAGGTCCATTCATAAAGTGCAGCTACTAAATGAATATATACTCTACTGCACTTCATACAAAAGCATCATATTATCACCCCGGCTGTAGCTGAGCCAATATAATGAGGACCTAAAGCATTCTTGGAATTTCTTAATTCCTTCCAGGTACCCATCTACTTCACCTGGGTGGAAAATGGCAAATGTAGATTAATGTCTTGCCAAAGGACATAAGTGCCGTAGCAGGACTCGAACGATTTGATCCACTGTCCAGTAAAGTATCCACTCATACACCTCTACATGGATTTGGAGTACGCAAAATATTAATGAGAAGAGACTCAACATGTTGAAGTACCATAGTGCTGTGCAACATTAAAGGGATCGTTTAACAATGTTAAATCTGAGATGCACAGCACTACATGTTATCAGTGTCTGTGACATAGTGTTATATTGAAGCCCTAAAAAAGTGACTCAAAAAAGTAAAAACTTTTGAGTGACTGGTTTTACCATACTCGTTTTTCCCAATAGACTGTAGTGTTATGAAAACCGTTTGGCAAATGCAAAAATTTGAGTTCGATTTTCAATCATAAATATCTTGATAATCAGACTGGCGATCGGCTTGTAAAAGTCATGAGGTTCCTGACTGACCTAAAGGTTTATAATTATCATTGCAGCATGAGCTAAATCAAGGATTTTTTTGAAGGATCTAAGACAAAGTTACTGGTTCCCTTTAACCTTAGTAGCCTATTAATAAATCTTACCTGCGACCCATGAGATGAGCGTATGCCCGCTGGGTTGTCTGTTGGGATGAACCCAGCTGGCGGGTACGGCATCTCTCTGGAGGGCCATGGCAAGATGTCTGATGGATGGCTTCATGGCGTACTGCCCCTGCAGCATGCAGCACTCAACCTCATGGAGACTCTGATTGACGTGGCACAGCAAGGAGTTGTACCAGTGACACTCCTACATGAGACGAAGAGAATTGAAGAGATGTACAGTCAAAACTGCTTTGGTGACCACCTGTCTACAAAGACCACATTTTTTGTTTCCCTTGAAAAATAGTTTCTCATTGAAACATGTAATAAAGGAACCTGTCTAGAAAGACAGTGACACAGTGACACATTGATAATACATGTAGATGCTGTTTCTAAGTATCGGCTTGTATGGTGATGTAGGTATACAGTAGGCATAAGGTTGTACCATGTGAGAGAGGGGGAGGATTGGGGAGTCCTGAAAAGGACTGTTGGTAATCTTTCTTTCTTGAGTGTGTATGTAGTCCTGAAAAGGGATGTTGGTAATCTTTCTTTGAGCTTATAGTTCTAAAGAGAACTACAGCGCTCGTTGGAGAGGATGGGTAGTAGGAGGGGCTCTTATGATTGTACTTTCCTATGGGATGCATCTTACATACCTGAAGTAGTACAAAGCCAATGCTCTGCGGCATCTCCACGCTGGCCACACTCAGCAAACTCATAAGCGAGGGCGCATGGTACGGGAACGTGTACTTCTCCGCCTCGTTGACGATGTGAATGGGCAGTTCTCCTAGGTCAACAATAGAGGGCAGCCTCTCCGTGATGGAGTCGATGGCGTTGGAGATCTTGGTGGAGTTGAACTGGGGTTGGGAGGGTACGTTGGATGATCCCCTGGGGCCAGAGTGCTGGATCTCGTACAGGTTGTCAAGGTACATCAAGAAGTCAAGACCACTGGAAAATAAAATAAAAAATAATAAAATAAAATAATGATAGTAACAACAGTACGATACTAATAATAAAACTACAAAATATTACATCATTGCATTTTCTCTGAAAAGAAAACTATGACTTAAAAAAAAAACAATGATAATCATTATAATCATTGAGAGCAATTTTCATCCATACTACAGATGGGAGATTTTTGAAAAATATTGTTACAACACAAAACTGGTACATCAGTACCGATAGTTGCATATTTGGAAGCCTTTTGACATTTTCTTTCAACAAGGTATGATGAAGGCCATTTTTTTTTTCTTTTATTAAATGATAAATGTGAAAATGAAAAAAAAGTCTGCATCATTTCTGAGAAAAGACTTTGTCCTTTAATAGCCACTAATCTGAGCCCTGTAACACAAACAATTGAAATTGTATTGTATGATCGCTTGATTGGTTATAGTTGAGTGATTGTACGTCAAGATAAATTGCAAACTATATAGCAAGCAATCAATCAACTGCTAACTTGTTCTTTGTGTTATGGGGCCATATGGCTTGAGCCTAATTCATATTCACCCTCATTTATATCACATTCAATGTGATCAACCATCTCTTTCTTTTTTTCTGCTAGGAGTGATACTGTACAGTCCTCTCTTCGTCCATAGTCTAACATATCTTTAGCAAAAAATGATCTGGGAGGTGTTTCACAAAGATCCTAAGTTGAACTTATCTCTAAGTTTGACTTGACAATTATAGAAAGCTGTTAGCATCTTTTAAAATATTTTGTTTGTTAAATTTATTTTAAAAGGCATAAAAAGTTGATGCAAATCATTCTTATTTTCATTTTATCGAGGAGATCTCATGTTTTTGATCTGGAATTTATGAAAAGTCTAAAATATTTGAATTTGTGCATTGAATATATTTTATTTTAGGGCTTCAAATGGCTCTCCATAATGTTTAAGTCCAACTTAAGTTAAATTCGACTAAGAATCTTTGTGAAACAGCCCCTGTTCACATACCTTGCTTTGTTGACCAGCTTCTTAACCCCATCATCCAGACTCAGCGCCTCCGTGGTGCCGATCTCCTCATCCCACTTCTCCTCCAGCCATCCGGCATAGTCCGTGGCATCCACGTTGGCCGGAGGGGTCGGCACGGTCACGGAGCCCAGGACCAGCTGGCTACTGGAGTGGCTGGAAGCGGTCAAGACGTGATTGACGATGGTCGTCAGGTAGAGGTGGTCCCAGGGATCGGTCAGCATGTTCCCATAGACAACCTGCATCAAAGAATACAATAGGAACAGTATGCTTGGAGACAGTTTATTCTTCCAATAAGGATCAGTGTAAACACTTCTTTAGCACAGGACGCATAAACCACTGAATTCATAAAAAGCATTTCTGTCTATCTAATAATGTGACATGTTGGGGATGACACAAATAAGTTCCAGTCATATCATTGAAAAAATGGTTAAGATAGTCAAATACTAGCACTTAAAAATCAAGATTAACAAATTGGCATAGCATGTGAAATCTATTGACAATTAACCTATGAGCATTTTAGATGTACTCTGTATATGTTCATAGTGCAAACTTGGATCAACATGTGAAAGGTAAATGTATATGGTGTAAAAAATATGAACATTCACACTTTATACATGGAGGTCAATTTTATCAATGAATTATTAGAGCTCTCCAGAAGTTGTTTTTACAAAAATATCATGCACATTAATAACACAGGTTGTAAAATGGGCAACAAAAGGACATGAATTGTCCAAAGATTGTATCGTTGAAGAATCATTACCTCAGAGATGAGACCACAGAGCTCAGCCAGACTATCACCCCCAGCCTGACCTCCTTCTTCCTTGAACCTTGACTCCAGGATGACCTCTAAGCTGTGATTGACCTGGACCTTGCTGAAAGCCTGGTACTGGGACAGACCTCGAGCGCCGTACATCTGACGGGCGTAGAGGACCGCGTGGATGACGCAGGCTCCGTACACCACGCCTCTGAGGGCGGTGCTCTGATCGGCCAGAGACTGCCAGGTGGAGGGGTCGACAGACTTCAGGGCAGCGATGGTAGCTGTTTGTAAGGGTTAATATGGTAATAATGAAACTGATTAATGAAGGATAGATTTCAGAGTTGATACATTTTCAAATGTATTGTAAAACAGAAAGTAATGTAAAACACCTTTAAACAGAAAAACAAAATATATTTTTTTTTAATATATGTTACAGAAAATGTGTATTTGAACATGTTAATTATAATAGACACATGTATATATCCACACAGCAGAAGAAATGTAAATAAAATGAAATCACCCAAATGTACCTAGAATGATGGTAATATTCAAGGTTCAGTAATAGTGAAAATTCAGAAGAGTGATACTCTCCTTTTGCTTTCCCAACTTACCAAGTGTAATTTCAATTTGCTTGTTATCTACCAATCTCTTGTTTTGTAATCCATACATTTGTGACAGTTAACCTGACAAAGTCTATTGAAATACCCGAGGGGCTACATGTATTAACAACTTACACGTATTACCACTACTTCTGCTATCAGAGTATAGACTGACCTGTCTTGAGTATATCATCTTGCGAGAGAGTAACCACCTCCATGTTGCTGGTGGAGCCATCCTGCTCATCCAGCAGATGAGGACCAATCACGTCCCAGGAGATGATACGTACTGATTGGAGGAGGTCGTCAAGGAGACGACCCGAGGGTTCAGAGGTCAACCAGATGCAGAAGCGGGATTGGCTGTTGGCTGCGATGGGGTTCAGTCCCAATGCGCCTAGTGAAAGATTTTAAAACTAATTAATTTCCTATTACATAACTCGCCAAATTGATCATTCTTGTGAATGAAACAATTTGGAATCTCTGTGCGCATTTTTATTGGTCGAGGTACTTTATACAAACATTATCGTTACATATTGCATAACAGATGATTTCAATGAGAACCTAGATTAAGCACTTCTACCATAGCAGACAAAACTTTGATTGCAACAAATTTTTTATTTTTTTATTCCACCTGGTTTAAATAGATCAACAGAAAGCATCCTGAAGACGATAGGTAAAACCTATCGAAACGTAGAGATAGAGCATGAATGGGCTCTTTTCAGAGTCCTTTTTCTCAAAGAAGAGATAAAATAGATAAAATAAGTTGTAAGCACTGGTCAGGGAGTCGTAACTCTCGACCTCTCAATTGAATACCACATGAATGCTACACCCCATACTACAACAAACAAAACAAATAGTGCCTAATTACCTCCTGTGTTTCCAACCCTGATAAGTTGCCCCTTCAGGTTAGAGAGGAAGAGATTGGAGGCAAGATGAAGGTCCTCTATCACCAACCAACCGTCTTTGTCAGCGATCGCGTCTATCGCCATGGCAACCTGATGCTCCGTGCCTTCGTTGATGGCGATTCGCTCGTACGGAATGCTCTTTTTCTAAATCATGAAAATAATCATTAAGGAAGAAATGGTTAGAGTTTAATGATTTTGTGCAATTCACGAGCAAAACTCAAATATTCTCTCTTGAAAGAAGTACATATGTTTACTGAAATGCTTATACTTGGGCCAAAAGACAAATTTGATAAAGTTTACATGAACTTCATAGAAGTGCATGACCAATGAAAACTCCTACATTCAACAAACTGACAGTACATGTGTACTCCATATTATCTGCTGAGACCAAAAGGTGCATTATCTCTATGATTAGTAAAGTATATGAGTTAATGTCTATCTGCCTCTCAAAAGACATTTGTGAAATCAGAGTAACAAGGAAGACTTACAAACATGTACGAAAGGTAATATGGTACATGAGAGAAAATGAATATTCATGATACGATCAAAGGCAGTTCAGACTAAATTAAATTTAAGAGCAGGGACAGAAGTAAAAAGAAACGATAAAGTATCTCAATGGCAACACGATCAGGGCCCCCTCTTATAAAGAGTTGCGATTGATCCAAATCAATTGCAAGTCCTCCAATCAATCTCAACTTTGCAGTCTCCAACATGTATCTCTTATGTACATAGTTGCAGTTGATATCAACTCTTTGTAAGATGGGGTCCAGGACAAGATTACATTCACTGCACCCCTACCTGTGCATACGTCTGCAGGATATCGACTGGCCTTGTGCTAGACTTGAGCTCACTGGGTAGCCTCTTGTTCCCTCCCGCTGGCGACGGCGGCATCAAGACCATAACCGCCAGGGAGCGGGTAGCGCTACCCAGAATGCTTCCGACGGCAGACGGCAGGGGCTTGACGCAGGTCAAGTGGCGCTGGACGTAACGAGAGGCGGCGGCGGGGAACCGGTCAGGGCGGAGCAGACGCAGGAGGATGAGCTGGTGGAACTCGTTGAGACTGCCGAGGTCGGGACTGCTCTGGGGGGAAGTCTGGCCCTGCTCGTCTACTGGACGCTCTTCACCTTTATACAAACAAAATAAAGATGTTATATAATCAAAAACAGTTCTATGCCAGAAATCTAAGAATACATGTAGGTAAAACATCAAACAGCAATTAAGAGCTGATTTCCATATTGGTCAGCCATAGTCAGAGATGCCAACCTCTTAACACCATCCTAATAAATCGGGTTTTCACGAAAACCCGACATTACCACTGGCCTGTTGGCCCCGGGCCAGTAAAATGTCAGAAAAATGTTTTATTGGTAAGAACGGTCAAGTAATTTGTTTGCTATAATGAATATTGTAAAGCAAAGTTTCTGTCAGGGTTGCAGGGGGTTTACTTGTACATGTTTTTTTGAAAGATGAAAAATTGTATTTCATGAGGCGATATTGTATTATCGTATTTCACTCTTATTATCGTACAAATACAATATTGGCATCTCTGCATAGTAAATGTACGTGTATTCCCTAATGACTCCTTGAATTTTCCCAAGGCTCACCTGTAGCTGGTCTAAGAGGCAGCGCAAGCCTCTCTGGCTCCGACGATTGATACCACTCTTCCCATTTCTCAGGCATCTCTGCCATCTGGATGCAGAGGGAGTCCAGGGGACCGGGGAGGACCGAGATGGCAAGGATGTCCTCCCATTTGTCGGGAGGGAGGAAGGTGGGGGGCGGGGCGTCGCATCCGAAGTCAAGCAGGGTCAGCTCCATGGTGCCCAGTCCAGGGTTACCTGTAATGTGTGTTAAAATTTACCATTTACACGCTACCCAGAACAAAATCAATGTGTTCATCTTTTAACTTTATCTTTCCTTTTTAATAAATAAGAGACAAAACTGTTCATTTTTTTTTACATTTCATATAACTTAGAGCCCAACAAACATTTTGGAGTATAGGAGCAGCTGAAGTTTGACTCCAAGTCATGAAAAGCAATCAATCTCCCTGCATTTACAGTTGATAAAATAATACGGTGATCTTCATCATCATCATCATCACCATTATCGTCATCATCAACAGCAGCATCATTTATTCAAGTCAGCATTTTCCGTCATAGGAGGGCCTTTCGCACCAAGATGAAACTTGATCCCTCCCTCCACTTCTTCTTGTCTCATGCATTAAAAAAAACATAGCACATACATGCATACATGCTTTTCCTAGATATTATATTGTGTCAAAATAGACTCCCCAGATAGCATAAAGAACACCCAAATGACCAATATAATAATACTGAACCAGAGCATGCAGGAATGTAACAAATAATTGAACAATAACCATGCAATGATTATTCAAATTAAAGAAAAAATATAATACAGTGGAACCTCGTTATAACAAAACACCTATAGGTCCAAGGAGTTACTTTGTTATATCAACACATTAATAAAATTACTTGTGCATTTCACAAAAGAAAATTTAATTTCAAGAATGAAGGCAAGCTTTTTGGGGTTCAAACATATTAGTATGATGTCAAAATTTGAACAGCCTACGGAACTGGACGAGTTAGAATCGTGTTATATCAGTTATGCAAAACAATTTGGGAACGGCAATTTAATTGTCAGTATGTTATAATTAGAGGTGTTATAACAAAGTTGATTATAATAAGGTTCCACTGGAAAAGAAAAAAATTCCATTAGTCCCACCTGTTTGGAATCGTGTTTGTGAGTGCAAATTGCATAAGTCATTCAGGACAGTGTTGCGTTTAGTAGAAGGCATTCGACCTGATCATTGTCAAAAGTTGGGTACAATTTGATGCAAGAAAATAAAACATGATGAAAGAAAAGAATCATGAAGCATTCATTAGAAGTGATGATGAATATAGCAAATGTGCAGAAAAGATTTAATTAATCAATAATTTTGTTAATTGATAGTTACAATGTATACAGTATATTGCTTGAAATAAAGATACCCTAACAGAAAGTCCCACGAAATTCTATGGAATACTACATGCAGTGATGCGTGACACAGTGTGAGAGTATCCACTTTATTTCAAGCAATACTTTATGTTGGTGATTGTGTCAAAAACATGCATTTAATCAAGACAATTAAGTTATACATTAAATATAATTGAATGGAAAGAAAAGAGACCCAAGCTTAGCATGAAAGAATGAATTTTGTCGAGAACTTGGATTGCCCTTGTAACTATTGAATAAGATTAAGTAAAATTTTATTTTTACCGAAAGTTAATTGTCGTCTGAAGAATTTTCTAAAATCTAGTTTCATATGTGAAAAGAAACCTCTTGTGCATACAATATGCAGAGAAAACTGAGAAAGGCATTCAGCTAATGAATGGGCCTATATGATTTTTTTTTCTTCAATTGTTTGCTTAGTTTGAAATAGAAATTCAAAAGCTGAGTGACTGCTCCAGAATAAAAGAATTTCAACATTTAACTAGTCTAATATGATTTTTAATATTAATAGCAAGAGCTAGCAATTTTTCTTTCTGATGAATATAACACAATCCAAACTTTAACATCCTTATAATTGCTCAAGCCTCTTTTCCTTGATGAAAAAATGACAATATCAGATTATTCACTCAATAAAGATTAGATGAAACTCTGGTTATTTCAAAATTTTAACAGGAAAATTATGTAAATAAACAGAGTTAACCTGAGTTTAAATTTGCAAATTATCAACGAAAGTGACAATGAACAACAAACAGATAAAAACAAAGGGTTTTGAAACAACACTCAGTGCAAAATAACATTTAAAACAGTCAACTACTAATACATGCATTTCAAGCTTTTCAACACATGCTATCTTTCTATCTACTGTTTTTCATTTCAGGGGGTAGCTACAGGGCGTTCATCTGAATTCTACAGCAAATCTGTTAAATTCTAAGCTTTCCATTTACAATAAATCGCTATTTCACATGCAGCTAACATCTACCCAGCATCTACATTTCCAGAAATTTGTTTTGGAAAACTTTATGCTATCATGAAATTGGACAATTGCTATGTAATTTTGTAGCTGTAAGCCACAAAAATAAAAGAGGCGAGAGGGCATTCTCATTACATTACTAAATAAACTTAAGTCCTTTCTTGCACCAGGTTTTAGAATTTTTAAAGGCAGTTTATCTAAACTTCCAAAAGGGGACTTGAGAGTATTGTGGTGTCAGGAAACATTCAACACAAACACAGAAAAATACATCACCAAGTACATTTAGAAAAGAGAGAGAGAGAGCTACGAAAGGGTATGGTTGATAGGGAGAGGTGAATGGGAGGAGAGGAGAGGGAGAAGAGGTGAGGGAGAAGAGGGGGAGGGATTGGGAGAGATAGAAGGGAAGGGGGAGTGGCAAGGGTTTGAAAGGAGTCCAAAGGAATGGGAAGGGTGGAGTGAGGATGATTTGAAAGGAGGGAGTGAGATGAAAAGGGAACGTTGGATCCTACCTTGTAGGAGCAGAGCTAGCTCTTCTTCAGAGAAGATGTTTGCTGTCTCATACTGGATATTGATGCAGAGCAGGGTGGCAAACAGGAGACGGTGCTCATCGTACAGGCTCCTAAAGTTTTAATCAGGACAATTATAACCATTACAGAGGCATCTCTTCATCACACACATGTCAGTAAATTGCTTTCAAAACAAAACATCTGATGAGCAGTTTCTAAAACCTACTTCTACACATTACCTCTATTTCAAAACTTCTTAGCATAGCAATGGTGAAACTTTTTGTTTAAGATTTTATCTTTTTAGGGGTGGTAATTTGATGTAAACAATGGGCCATTTGTCGGCTTCAGGAACTATTGTGGGCCGATAGCCCACGAGCATTAATTCTCTATAAAACAATAGGGGATATGGCCCGTCTAGCTTTAGGCAGATGATAGGAATACGCTCCTTTCTTGCAGCCATATGTTTCCTGTGCTGACATTGAAGTTAAAATTTTAACTGAACTTGTCTGGGTTATCACTATTGTACATTTCCACATGTTTCCCAATTCAGCTTAAAAAGCCAGGTACAGTCCATACAAACAATCACAACCATTTCCAGTAATTTCCCATTCTTTGGCCCTGTATTAAAAACAGCTACGATGGATTAAAGTTGATCACACAATGATATCAATCACAATCAAGTAATGTTTTAGCAGTTTGTAAGTTTGCGATTGATTGGGGGACTTGCAGCCAATCCAGATCAATCGCAACTCTTTCCAAGACAGGGTCCTGATAATCCATCTACTTACAAAAAGCAAAAAGAACAAATTTCAAAAATGTTTGAACAATAATTTATATCATATATGTACAATAAAAATAAAAGAGGACCTAACATTGAGCCATGAGGGACTCCACACGTGACTTGCATCAGTCGGATAAAACATGGTTATATACAACTACTTACTGTCTAACATTCTGGAATACTGTCTGTGTGAGGCAGTCGACAAGCTGTTTGACCTGGTTAGCAGAGAGGTTGGTGTATTCCAAGCCTCCTGAAGGGAAGGTTGGTACATCAGGAATCACTATGTCTGGGACTGACGTGCCGGCAGGGCCTTCAGTGCTGTCTTCGTCTTCCTCAGCGGCTGATTCTGGGTCAAAAGGAAAGAAGAGAAAATGAAATGGAAAATTTGAGTTTATTGGTTTCATATTTCACATGCAGATACAATACAGATAACCAAATATACATGAAATACATATTGTTTCATCATTTAAAAAAAATGATTATTGTAATTGACAAATAAATCAGACTACAAAGTTACATATCATCAAATTTGTTTGACAACTATTATCATTTAAAGGAAACCCAGAAAAGAAAAGCACAAAACTGTGAAATGTGCAGGAACTTATAGAAAAGCATAGCTTGTAAAGAATAGGTTCCTGGGAGACTTGCCATCAATTCATAAAATAGTTTTAAAATGTATGTGCAAACTAGCTGCCAATTGCTGTTTACTCTTTCTCCTATCTTTCTCTCTCTCTCTCTTTCTCTCTCTCTGTCTCTCTCTCTCTCTCTCTCTCCCTCTCTCTCTGTCTTTCTCTCTCTTTCTCTCCTCCCACACCTCACAATCACCAACATACTTCTTACCCATACCTGCCAACCTTTCATAGCAAAAATTAGGAATCCCTCTCAAGGCAAAATTAGGAATACAGTCTATTTTGTATATTTCAGAAAAGGGGAGGAATCTAGAGTTCAAAACAATAGCTTGAAGGTCAAAAAAGGGAATTTTCCCCAAAAAATAGGAGTGGTTGGCAGCTATGATTACCTGCTCCGGCCTCCTGCCCCTCTCCTCCTCCATCAGGGATGGTAATCTTCTTCTCAGAGATGCGTGTCGAGGCGCTACTAAGCCTGGGAGGTGGAGCCACTTTACCATGACGAGGATCATCTTCATCATCACTTCCAGTTGCAGCCTACCATCAACAAAAGAAGAAGCATATATTTGTATTTCTGATTATTGCTCTCCGTATTTACAAAGTATCTGACTGTGTTTTCAAAGAATTAACAGGCATTCTAATTAGAGAATAAAAATAAATCTAGTGCAATGTGCAATGATATTGCTTTCAGATGTGAGCTCTTAATAGACCAGTTCACAACAACATTAAAATTTTATTCATGCCACACTCTACTGCAATACTAACCTATGAATACCTTCCAGTTTGGAAGGGTCTTTCCCAGCATAGCAACAAAATATTTGTGCAATATGAATTAAGACAAGATGAATCACTGCCACATTTAGTAACGATTAATGTGTGAATTAGTCTCTTAGGCTTCATGATTTTCTCAAATATTTGAAGTATGCGTAAATCTGCGACTACAATATTGATGACGCGCTATTACTTACATCATGCCAGTCTTCCTCCTGGGCTACTTCTGGGGGCAGTTCCTCTCCCACTGCTTGATCAAACATCCAAAGAAACATAGGCAGCGAGACCCTATACTCCCTTTGCATGCCCTGGAGGCTCTGCACCACGGAGTACAGCATCGCGCCCCTCTTGGACACCGGCAGCAGCTGGTCCCTGATGCGCTCCAGCTGGAAGAGGGCCTGCTCCGCGGCCTCCAGACGGGCAAAGACGGTCTCCTTGTGGTCGACGATGGAGGACACGTACTCAGTGTGGGTGGTGATCTCCTGGGAGGAGACCTCACCCTCGAGGACTTGGAGGAGCTTGTCTTCCAGGAACTGGATAGGATAATAATAATGATATTAGGCATTTCTATAGCGCTGTCTATCTAGAAATTCTTTTCAAAGGCGCATTTATCATCACCCCGGCTTTAGCCTAGTTGCCGTATACAGCGCTCCAGCATTTTAAGGAATTAATTCCTGCCAGGTACCCATTTACCTCACCTGGGTCGAGTGTGGCAAATAAAGATTAATGCCTTGCCAATACAAAGGACATTAGTGCCATATCAGGGATTGAACCACGACCTTTGAATTTCAAGTCAAGTGCTTAAACCACTCCAATACGACACTTTGAAAAGAATATTACTGTTATCGGTTGAGTCAAACTGGTATGGAAAGATAACACCAAATATGCAGGTAGAGGTGTTGTGGTCTAGTGGTAAAGTATTTGGACTCTGGACCACAAGGTACAGGGTTCAAATCCCTGCCACAATTTACAGCAGGATATTAATCTAGATTTTATGCTAATAGCCATGTGGTCTAATTTCCATTTGGACTAATCTCATATAAGTCTACTACCCATTAGATCTATTGCTCATTACATCTAATAACCAGTTAGTCTAATTCCCAGTTTGTCTAATGCCCATTTTGTCTACTATCTATAAAGTCTAATAACGATCAGATGAATATAATTTATGATTAAATGAGTATTAGACCATATAGATTGTAGATGAAATGGGCATTAGACAAACTGGAAATTAAAACGACTAGAAACTAGACTAAATGAAAACCAATTGGTTAGTACACGTACTGGTTGTAGACCAAACAGCACTAAACCTGCCAATCTTACCTGTAAGGTTTCCTTGTGTTGCTGAATAGCTCTCAACACCTTCTTCTTCTCCAAGTACAGCATGGGCATGACTCTGGCGAACGCTCTATCCAGAAGCTCTTCTCGTAGCATCTCAGGAGAGGCGTTGTAGTTGATCATGGTCGTCGCTGACGCCGTTCTGGCGCTGAAGTTGGGGTACATGTTGGTGGTAGCCATGGTGACACGGAAGTTCTCGTGACCGAGTAACCTGCGTCCGCAGTATTTGATGAGACGAGCGTCTATAGTGTTGGGAATGTGATAAATGAATGATGAACTCAGTCATTGATGGACAGTTTGTTGACATGTGGATACATATCAAAATCAAGAAGACCAATGGGGGTAATCCTTATTTACTTGAACAGTTACAGATTAAGTGAGCAAAAGTTCTCATAACAGAGCAGTCTGCATCCACATTATTTGAAGAGAACATTTATGGTAGTGGAAATGTGATATTAAAATATTAAAATTTGATATTGCAGGAAGGCTTGTTGATACCTTCTTGATACAGATCATTCACCAAATTTCCCTGTTTTGGAAGGGCTATATAGACATGCAGTGTTCAACCCACTTCCTAAAACCCTTGTTTTCTGTAGAGCCCATTTCATTTTCAAAGAATTTAGTACAGGTTGTTTTTGTGAACAACTTTTTCTCTTCTTTTTCATGACCTAATGAAAAGTGCAGACTTTGACCCTACACTTCACTGTAACAATATCAATCCTTAATGTTTATACATACAATGCTATTGAGCTGAGGTTGGTCAAAAGTGCCTTCATCGATAACTTAATAAATGCATGTTTATTTCTATCACAGACAAAATCCATCATACCAACACTTGATTTATTTATTAACTTATTTTCCGCTATGAAAATACAGAATGAAATATCGCAGTATAGGAATTCACTCTTTAACCCTTCTTTGACCTACCTCCACTACCGCCCTCTTCAGTGCCATGGTTGGCATGGTGGATGAGGGGAGCTGACATGGAATCCACACAGTCTACACTGTTCATCATCAACAGAGGGCGCCCTCCTAGAATGGCCTTCTCTATACGCACCACCATGGATGGGTCGAACCTGATCCAGTAGATAGGTAGCAGATTGTTATTTCTTAAAATAATTTCTAAGAATACATTTGAATAAGCGAATTTCAATTCCAAAGACAGTTTACAGACTAGAATAAGCTCTACAAGACATTTACATCCTACAATTGATGTTCATGAAGAAATGAATTCTTCTAAATATGTGAGTTGAGGTGAAAGATGTTTAAAGTCTTAATTTATCTAATATACCACTGTCACAACACATCAAACACTATTAAAACTAAACCATCCTGGATTACCATAAAATAGAGCTGTAAAATACAGAAAAATTTAGTAATAAATTTACTGATAATAAACCTCACCTGTCATTACAAAGTAGATGTAGATTTAGATACAATAACAAAAATTCTTAATATAAATTAACCTTAATTTTCTCTAAAGGCAAGAATTAGCATGTTTAAATGTATAGATTCATAGGTGGCTTCTTGGTGGAAAAAGTATCATTGACATCATAGAAAACACAATAAGGTACGCACATTTCAAGCAAAACAAAACAAGAGCACTTGATATAAAGACCTACCCAATCTTGTTTTCCACATGGCTATGGGCAAGCATTGCAATGGAAATCAGTCAAACAAAATATGTCAGATATGAATTTTTCAAAAATACAGTGCATTACGTACGAGCCAACATAAGCTTTAACAATTACCTACTATAAATGAGCATTTAAAAAAATTATTTAAAAAATCTTGTTTTGCATACTGTAAAGTAGTTGTATACAGTATATGTGAGATGTCCAAATTGAAGAATTAAAAAAAAAAGCTAGTGAAGCTACGATTACTTTGTTTGTATTATCTGTAGTATAAATCATGAAGTGTATAATATGGTTCATCATGATGTCTAATTGGTATGCATTTGTATACCGTAAGTACAATTACAAAATACTCAATAATATGCACAATGTATACAACTTTGAAAAGGATAATGTGTATGATAATAAAGTTTGGAAAAACACACTACATGACTTATATTGTATATTTTGCCATCAAACCAAGCTAATTATACAGGGGAATGGGACACTGCATTATATCGTGAAGTCTCATTCGATTACAGTTTTTTCATGAAATATTACAAATAAATAACTGAATCTCTATAATGGGTCATACAATATGATGCACATGCAAATCGCCCAGGTGCAGGCGTTGAGAAAAATCATTCAAGCAGACAACTACATTTTACAAAATCAAACTTTCTAATTTGAAAAGGGAATTTCAATGTTATAAACAGCATGCTGAGGCATTCAAGGTGCAGAGTGAGTCTAAACTATCGGTATTGTGCAGGAGGCCATTGTGTTCTAGGGTGCTTGTTATTGTAAAACGTGCATGAATCAAATAAGCATGTCCACACTAGCTTGGGGTGGGGTAAGGGGAGGGACAGAGAAAGGACATAGGGGAAGAGGGGAGGTGGTAACAATAGGAAAAGGGAGAGATGGGGAGGGGGGTGAGAAGGAGGATAACAAGGTAGAAGCTTAAAAAGGAGAAAGGAATCACTCTCAATTCGTTTTTTAAAGTCATGTGTGCAAAATGGTATGAACAGGCACGATTTGCAGGTCACACAAAAATGGTTATTTGAAAATTAAAGCCTCACTGAAATACAGCTCACATTCTGACAAAACAGGATATACATATGGTCACATGTACATCATGGAGGTGGCTATTTTTCCCCTAATTTCTGTACCAGGATCTTACTTCTAAACTTATGAAAAATATGAGTTTCCTAAAAGGTATAGAATGTGTAGATGGCATCTAAACTAATGAAGTGCAGATGTTGCATAATAAATCGCTGATGATGTGTGGTTGCTTATGCTACTAATATTCATGAAGTGTGAGTTCTAATATGAATTAGACTTTTAATAGGCTCTGATGATTTATTCAAAAGTTTGTGTGGCTTGAACAACACTATTTCAGTTAATGCTTGTAGTATAAAAATGTCTTCTGTATAACTACAATGAAACTCATGAACTGAAAATGAGTGATAGCGTTTCATTAAAATTACACTTCTTCCCTGTGTTTTTACTGAAGGAATATCTAGCATATTCTTTCAAGAAGAAAACAAATAGAACTTCAGCTAACTGTAGCTTTTAAGACATCAGTATTTCACAATACTTCTTCAAGATGTCCAATAACTGTGATTTAAATGTATTACCGGTACATAATTTCATAATCCCATAATGCTTTAGAATGTCTGTTTTTGTTAAAAATGAAATGGGCTAGCTGTCAGTTGTGAGTACTATGAGAGAGTGATATGCGTAAGATATGTTAGTTCATGCATTGGCATCTTTTAAGCCAGTAATATTTTACAATAATGCTTCAAGAGGATTTCCAAAGACTTTTAAAAAAGCATGGTATTTCATTGTCCAGTCCAAAATTCTTTAAAATGTATCTTTTTTTTTCTTTTTTTAATGATTTTTTCTCAGTCTATGTAAGTTTTGAGTTCTACAAGAAAGTGAGATGAATGATTAAGATGTATGAGTGAGATATATTAGTTCATGCAATGGCATGCAAAGAGATCTTACAATTCAAATGTGTCTTTAGAATACACATGGATTTGTTGATGTCTCCTATAAACAAAACAGGACCAATGATAATTAGAGATATAAAAATTTAGAAAGAAAAGTTACTTAATATCAATTACATTGAAACTGATAATGTTAAAAAGAGAGATAATGATTTATAAATAATATTAATTACATGTAAATATCAATTATTATATTGTATTTGATAATGATGATTAAAGAGCAATCCAAACTTTGTAATAACTTCGTTTGAATGAAGGCTTAAACTAGATGGAATTCGACTGCGCGCAGTCGAAAATGATGCCTCCGTTATAGAGCAATTTTACAAACCAAAACAGAAAAAAAAAATTGAATTCACGTTCAATGGTAATCCATTGACAGGTTCTCAGAATATTGTGATTACAAGCAATATCTCATATACATATATGACCCTTTGATCTTTGACCTCATGACCATAAAATCTACTCAGTTCATTGGCTCTGCAAGATGTTCTGAGTTAAATAGTAATCCATCTGTCAGTTCTAATGAGAATGCGTTCACAAGCTATTTTTGCATACATAATGGGCCCATGACCTTTGACCTTTGACCTTATGAACCAAGAATCTACTCAGTTCATTGGCTCTGCAAGTAACAAACATGACCTAATTTTGGCATGAATCCATCAATCGGTTCTTGAGATAACGCGATCACAAGCTGTTTTTGCATTCATAATGTGCGCTGTGGCTTTTGACCTTTGACCTACGTGCTCCAAAATCTAATCAGATTGTCTTCCTATGGTGATACACACTATCATTAAGTTTGAAGTTTAAATCTCCAGTGGTTCTTGAGATATTATGATAACAATCTCAATGTATGGAATTTCATAAGTTGACCTCTGTGACCCTTGACCTTTGACCTACGTGCTCCAAAATCTACTCAGATCGTCTTCCTATGGTGATACATACTATCCTTAAGTTTGAAGTTTTTACATCTCCAGTGGTTCTTGAGATATCATGATAACAATCTCAATGTATGGAATTTCATAAGTTGACCTCTATGACCCTTGACCTTTGACCTACATGCTCCAAAATGTAATCAGATTGTTTTCCTATAGTGATACACACTATCACTAAGTTTGAAGTTTAAATCTCCAGTGGTTCTTGAGATATCATGATACAATCTCAATGTATGGAATTTCATAAGTTGACCTCTGTGACCCTTGACCTTTGACATACGTGCTCCAAAATCTAATCAGATCGTCTTCCTATGGTGATACATACTATCCTTAAGTTTGAAGTTTAAATCTCAAATGGTTCTTGAGATATCGCGCTAACAAACTCAATACAAGGAATTTCATAAGTTGACCTCTGTGACCTGTGACCTTTGACCTACGTACTCCAAAATCTAATCAGATCGTCTTCCTATGGTGATAAATACTATTCCCGAGTCTTAAGTTTAAATCTTTAATGGTTCTTGAGATATTGTGATAACGGTCAAACGGGACGGACGGACGGACGGACGGACGGACGGACGTACGGACGTACGGACGGACGGACGTACGGACGGACAACCCGAAAACATGATGCCTCCGGCACCACCTTCGGTGGCGGAGGCATAAAAAATATGAGAAACAGAATCCAAAAGTTTGAAGTAAATCGAACCAATAATAAGAGAGTTGTAACATTTCCAACAATCTCATTACAAGCTTCTAATTTTCCACAAATGAAAACAAATTTGGAATGGCTTCCTTTCATTCCCCCCCCCCCTTTTTTTGGGGGGGGGGGGAGGAGGTCAAGTTCAACTTCATATTCAATAAGTACTCAAATATTTAATTAAAAGTGCCCTTCTTGACCCAGAGCTCCTTCTACACCGTGCATACTGTACGTTTAATGCCCACTACCGACAAAACAATACACCAACACAACACCAAATATGTCACATAACTCAAATTATATACACCCCTTTACCAGCACAATCCTAAATCCAAATCAATTCAAAGTTAGAAAAGTACATTCATGAAAAAAGAGAAATCATATTTATGAATTCTGAAACTTACCATCTAACGAAGTCAATGACAAATAGAACATGCATGAACAAGATGAAGGGGAAAAAAAGAAGTGGTATTACAACTTTTTATAAACTGGCAGTGATAAAATACAAGCATATAGTATTATATATTCTCTAGCAAGACTAATTTTGGGACACAAAATGCATCTAGGTTTCAGAACATTGTGTAGAGAGCAGTGTATTTCTACACATCAAAAATATACTTTCTAAATATCTAAATGTGCAGACTTTATGGTCTAACTACATGTACTTCCCTTCTGCAACTTTGTTTTCTTTCTTTCTATCTACAAGGCAATTTGCTTCTCTCTTTTTACAAGGTAATTTTGCTTCTGTCCATTTACATGGCAATTTGGCTTGTCTACAAGAAACTCTCCAACTTCCTCTACAAAACTTAAAAACACATGGGGATCTATGCAATTTTCTACAGGGTCTACATGAAAAGGTTTTAAGTGCAATCCCCTACATCTAAATTTGTCTATACAGTACACTCTTATAGGGAGCAAATAATTGAACAATGCATGATGAACCCAATGGGCAGCTCTTTTGGCAATACAGCACAGATACTGAAACTATCAAAGACAAGATGTTCAGAATTAAACAGACTATGGCATACAGTATTGCTTGCAGTTAAGTATACACCCTCACAGCAAGTCACTCCAAAGTCTATGGAATAATACATTCAGAAACGCGTGACCCAGTAGGAGAGTGTCTACTTTATATCGATCAATACTTTATCTTGTACTAATGCGTACTTTGGAAGATGCGAGGCGAGCAATTTGACGAGAGAATAAAGGATGCTGGTCTGCTTACCTTGTCTGCATATCAATGTTCACAAGTCTTTCCTGGTAGATCATTCTTCGTAACCAACGCACTCCCTCCATGTCAGGGTCAATCAGGTACGGAGGTCGTTGCCATGACGACTTCTGGATGGCAAGGTTCTCCATCTGTCTCAAGCTAAGGCCTAGATGGACAAAAAACAAATAAGTTTTGATTATGTTACACCAAAAAGGAATCAAGATATATCTAGATGTCAACTTTCATTTTCATCTTTACTCTTATACTGTATTGTTTTATTATTAGATCTAAGGTAGATGTAAACACAGCCAAACTAATGCATTGAAAAATACAATAGGTTCCATTGGCATGTTCACGAATCTCTCCGACTGCTGCTTGGCTGGTGGTTTAAACTATTACAGATTGTTTTTATTATCTATACTGTAAAATCATACTCCAATGATCTTGAGTAGATGTAAACACAGCCTAAATAACTCATTAAGAAATAAACTAGGTCTCATGTTCATATACACATTTCTCTCCAACTGCTGCTTGGCTGGTGATTTAAAATATTACAGATTGTTTTTATTACCTGTCCTGTAAAAACATACTTCAATGATCTTGAATAGATGTAAACACAGCCTAAAAAATATTAAGAATGTGCCCTTCATCCCACAGTCTTGTACATACATCTCCTTAACAGCATACATTCTGTTTTAATAGTAACATGAAACCTGCCTATTAAGATTACCCAAGGGAGACAAGAAAAGTGATCTTTGTAGACAGGTGGTCTTTCTATACAGGTGGTCCCTAAAGCAGGTTCGACTGTATCAACAAATAAGAAACTGACATAACAAGATATGCACACTGATGACAAGTAAGAACACAGCCCCCAAAATGTATTCAGACTTACCTTTAGTTCCCCAGTCGTGTACACACTTCTCTCCCACCAGCAGTTTGATGAGTGACTGGACGTAGCGCTGGTACTCTGCGCTCCCTATCTGAGGGAATGCATCTACATCGTAAGCATGCTGGCTTTCTGCGATCTCACTGAGAGCTGTGAAGCCTCGCGGGGGTTCCTCTGCAGCCGGTGCTGCGGGCTGCTCGTTACGTGGGGTGTCTTGGCCCTCTGTAAGAGGAAAGCAAAATGAAAACCAATTATGAAGAATGAATGTAGTCCCTTTCCTTCACAGAGCATGAAAACATTGGGATGAATAAGATACATTGGCTGATATGAGAGAAAAATTAACATATTAAAGTGGTAAAACTCTTGGTTGTATTTTCTCTCGCTCTCTGAGAACTTATGACTTCCTTCTTCTTCTGATTTTATGATGTTTTTCTAAATGCTTTCTGTTTGATATCTTTTTCTTTCGATCATCGGTAAATCTGAGCTTTAGTTAAAGATGACAGATATAAATCAAATATACACTTCTTGTACTCAAGTGTCGAACTATGGAACCCTTAGTGATGTGAAGAGGATCATTTTCCTCTGGGACTGTGCTCTTCTGCAAAATAGTCATAGCCAGGTTGACTTGGTCACTGACTAGGGGAGTGGTTCACAAAGACTAAGATCAACTGTAAGTTGGACTTAACCATGGCAGGCCGTTCATGCCACTGTTTGCTCTCACCATTTACTGGCATTGGTCTCTCAAGGGATGTACAAATAATGGTTACAAATCTGCAGAATTTACACTTTTTGATAGTTCATTATTGAAGGGAAAAATATTATCTAAAATCATAATGGTGAGTGCAACCAGTGGCATGAATGGCCTGCCATAGTTAAGTCCAATTTAAAGTTGATCTTAGTCTTTGTGAAACACACCCCTGACATTCTCATGGCATTTCATAATTGTATACTGTACCTTGTGTCTGAGATAGTAAGGCATTCATCTCCTCTTCTTTCTCCTTCATCTCTTGACTCTTCTCATCATCCTCTCCTCCTTCATCCCCTCCTTCCTCTTCCTTCTTCTCACCATCCTCTTCTCCTGTCTTTCCTTCATTCTCCGTCTGTCCTTCAATCTCTGTCTCTCCTTCGTTCACCGGCGTCTTGCTGTCATCTTCTTGGCGTTGCGCTGGAGTTCCTTCGCTGTCTCGCTGGCCGAAGTCTAATGGCGGGAGAGCGCTACCCATTCCGGTGTTGGCCCGGGTCTTGGGGGACGTATGGATGGCCCATTCAACAATCCAACCTATACAACACAAGATATGAATCCATATACATTTATTATCAAAAGCATACAATACATACATGCACAAGTACATTCCTCAGCACTAGTACTAATTTTATTTCTGAAAACAAAAGGGTACTCGTAATCACTTTCTTGTATTAAAGGGCCTCGTTGAATAAAACCTAAATTTTTGGTAACATTGCCATTATTCCATGAAGATCTTGATTTGAGTGGCTGTTGAGTGATGCTGCCATGGTAGATAACATGGACAGCAAAGTTGCCATCAATGGTCAGTTTTATGCAACGGTTCCTGTTAGTCCAATAAATGCAAGCTAAAAATTTGCAAACAGGAGGATTAAGTGACTATTCTCATGCTATAAAAACAAAATCAGAAGCCACTTTTATCCTAAGTACTACTATCAATTCTGCTAAGTAACGATACATTTCTAGAGCAAGATCTAAATCACTATATTTGTAATACAGAGTATTTGTGTATGTTCGAGGACATTTTGATGGGTGCCCAGCCCTTCGGAACTTGTCACTATGTCAAATAGATTCTACTTAAAATAATAATCCTCCTTTAAAAATTAGCACACCAGGGGGTTGTTTCAAAAAGCTGTTCGTAAAGTTACGCTTGACTTTACAAATGACTTGCATATGAAAAGCCAAATGGGAGGCTCAATCATTTTTAACTACATCAACCAAAGTTGAACTGTGCAGATGTAGACTAACATCCTTATTATAACAAACATTTTTAATGCAATGTCTATTTTTTGCCATAATTTATTTGAAGTTATTGGAAATATAGTAACACTTCGTTAAAACATCAGGAAAAACTTTGGGCATCCTATCTGGCACTTCATATTCAAGTCGTTCGTAAAGTCACGCGAAACTTTAGGAATAGCTTTATAAAACACCCCCCAGTTTTGATGTGGAAGAATTCACCTCCAATTGTCGGGTAAGAATGAAATGAGAATATCCTTACCTTTCATAGGATCTATGGCATCGATGACAAGAGGAACACCTCTCTCTTGAAGGCACAGCGGCCAATGGACCGTAAGAACCGATCGACGGAACTTGGGGTCGTAGGGTCCCAGGTAGGTCGTGAAGGCCCCTGCCATGGCAATGGCACCGGAGATGGCAAACTCTCGCTGGGGGAGGGACTGGCAGATCTGGAGGCAATGCTGATGCTCCATTGCTAGAATCTATGAGAATCAAATTTAGAAAATATGAGAAACGTTAAAACGAACAATAACAAAAACAGACACATATCCTCAAACAATAATGAAAGGAAGGATGGTGATCCCACATGTGCTCCTGCAACATTTGCTCTTGGCTATGATTGTAAAAGATAATTTAGGATAAGGGTTAGAGTTACATGTATGTACATATATAATGTTGGGTCAACAATTTAATTTTGGGATTTTACTACTTTTAGATATTGACCATCGAGAACTGCTGCTGGAGCATGATCACATTAAATAGCATCTGTACTGTTGGGAAATTGCTTGAGATCATTTTCACTATTAATAAATGGTACAATTAACTGTTGTTGTATGTACTGCTTTTCATGAGATATAAAACTAGGAGTTTGAAATGTTAATTCCCCAAATGGTAAGTACAAATATGTGACCTTTTAAACTTGATCTATAATAATAATAATAATCATAGGCATTTCTATAGTGCAGTCTATCTAGAAATTCTATTCCGAGGTGCATTAATTATTATCCCGACTTTAGCCTAGCTACCATTACAGCGCTCTAAAATTTCAAGGAATTAATTCCTGCCAGGTACCCATTTACCTCATCTGGGAGAGAAACATACTTAATAGGAAGTACTTATAAATGAAAGGTTGATCTAACATAACAAACTCACATGTCTGAATCTATTGGCAGTGTCCAGCTGTTTGGTCATCTTTCTGGACAAGTCTTCCTGGTCATTCTTGTCCACCGTGGCACTCTCGAAGCTGAGCGCAAGGTCCGTGAGTCTCTCCTCCAGAGCCTTCTTCTTGTTCTCCAGCATGGAGAGCTTGTGTTCCGCTTCCTCGATGGCCACTCTCGTCTCTTCAACCTTCCTGTGAAGCGGCTTCACCTTCGAGATCATCAGACGGTGATATCTAGAAGGCAGGTCAAAGGTCACAGTTAATAAAGCTTGATTCTCAATAGACCAGTATTAAAGTAGAGAAGACATCATGTCTTTTGCATTCATGCTGCTTCTTTTTTGTGCCACAGAATTTTGCTAAGACACTTAAGAGAGGTCATTATACCCCTCCCCCCCTCCCCCCACTCAGTGTATGCATGTTCCTTCTTTTTGAAAGCCCCCCTCCCCCCCCCCCCCTTCTCTGGTGTGAAAATCAAAAGTACCCCTTTACCTGAAATTTTGGGAAGACGCATGCGGTCCCCCCGACCACAGAATGGGGGGGGGGGGCCGGGCATTCCACACATCCAGGAGCTATTCTAACCTCATTTTCTTACAAGCACCAGCTACATATTCAGGAATGTTTTCACAAATAACTTAGTAATGACCAAGCTCAACTCACCTGCAGACCCCTCGTACCCAGTTACAGAGAGAGGCAGCAGCGGCGTTGTTGTTCTTCCTCAGCATGTTCTTGGCCTGGAAGGAGGACTTCTTAAGGTACGGTTCCACCAGGTTCAGAGTGGACTCCGGAAGCTCTGAGTCATCAAAGGAAGCAAGTTCCTCGTTGAATCTTGAATCATTGAACAGAAACGAGTACAGGACGTCATTTCATTTTACAATTAATTTTTGTAGATTAACGTAGGATACTATAAATTCATGAACTATTTGTATTTTGGTTGTAAGTGGTTTGTAATTATGTACATGTATTATTTCATTTGCCAAGTTTTAATGTTAATTGAATTGATGTAGTTTGTAATGCAAATTCTGTTTCCTTTACTTATCAACTATTTTCTTTTTAAACCGCTTAGAGGCAATATGCAATTTGCAATATAGAAATATCTTATTATTATTATTATTATTATTTTTATTTAACACAGTAGTCATAAATGATATAACCCGTACCTTTCAATGTTTGCCATCTGCCGTTTAGCTCCTTTGCTCCAGGTCAAATCAGATGAGGGAGATTTCACTGTGAGGAAAATAAAAGATCAATATACAGTGTATTTACTCATTCAATTCAATTAAATTCAAATGAACATTTATTTTCTTCCATTCAATTTGACAACATATTTGACATGTGTTCAAACAATACAATTTATACGTAGGATTAAATATTGGTTAGGTAATTACAAACTGATTCCATGGGTTTGTATAATTTCACCATTTGCAATATTATATTCTATGCATTTTCATATGTGTCTGTCTATTGGGAAAAATTTAGTGATTGGCTGCTAATCACGATTTGTACTAAACCATGAATAGACCAAATGATAATATGCTCCTCAACATCACAAGACAGTTATTAATTTACAGATGTGTTCTACGATATCTCACATATGACTATAATAAAAAACAAATGTAACAATACTCTTGCAATTTGCATAAACATTCATTTATATTTTAATGTTCGCAACAATGGCATATAACTTGATTCTATAAAATGTTAACTATTCACCTAACCCTCCACCACACCCCCCCCCCCTCCTCCCCCTCTTCCCTCTCAACAATCCACTGCACTCCCCTTTAAAATTAACATCTGAACCAGTTAATGGGATAGTGATCACACTTACGTATCATAATAATGGAAGCCAGCAGATCTTCAATGTCTACATCTGGTTTGTGCATTCCTCTGAGCTCTCCTAGGCTCGTCACGTCCAACGTCTGGACCACCTTCTTGGTGTCTGCTACCACTGCGACAGTCTTGTACACCGCCCTCTCGTGGGCTAGAGCGTACTTTGGTAAGGCCTGTTTGAGCTTGAGCAGACTGTCCAGTTGTTTCTGGACGATCTTTACCTGTTGTCCTGCTATGGCCTTATCTTGACCAATCTGTGACAGTAGCTTTATGGTTCCCTGTCAGATTAAAACACAACAAAACATGTGTCAGTGAAATCTAAGCAAAAGATATCTATCTTCTACACATTGTATCTTCTAGCATAAACAGTCTTAATTCAACTGACAGCGTTGTTTAAATCCACAGCTTCTAACTCTGGAGGAAGAAAGGTTGGGGCCCGCCTCACAAAGTGTGTAATAAAAAGAAATGCAAAATTTCTATGACGAATTTACTCACAAGCAACCATATGCAAATAAAATTTTCCTTGGATCATATCAAAACAGTTAATTAACAGTTCTAAAGGTTCCAAAAGATGTTTTATGGTGGATTTTATCACAGCTCTTTAGGGGTGAAAGATACCAAACGCCAACTGCTTTTTTCAATGAATTTACACTCTAAGAAAAAAAAGAATTTTATAGTGAAACCTCTATATACAGACCACTCAAGGATGACAAGAATAATAGTCTTTATGGATGGTAAACTTTTTGTACGGTTTCTATAGTACATGTTTCTATGAGAAATGATTGCCAAGGGAAACAAAACATGTGGTCTTATTAGACAGGGGGTCTTCATATACAGGTGGTCGCTAAAGCAGAATTCAATGTAGTTTCTTACTTCTTTCCTTTCTTCCAGTACAACAAGCTCATGTTCTAGTTGTTTCTGGAGCCTCATGGCCAGCTTGTTCTCTCTGTTGATGTGGTGTAAAGCCTTGGTGACTGTCAGATGTTCTTCATGGATCTTGGCTTGTCGCTGCTTGTACATCGATAGAAACCTGGAGGAAAATAATATGAAAATTCCAAGGGATTTAAAATTATAATCTATGTATCTGGAATTCATATCTTGTTCAAAATGGCGCTACAAATGAATCTTGACTGAAATCAAGGTCTCATGGGATTCCTGGCGGGCTTTTCTCATTGCGACATAATTATATCTCAACATCATTACGTCATCCACTATTCTTAGTATGCACAAATCAAATTAAGATTTAACATCCTTATGTGCTTCCTCAACCTCCTCCTCCTCCTCCTCCTCAACCTCCTCAACCTCCTCACCAGCCTCACCAGCACCACCACCACCACCACCACCATCATCATCATCCTCATCCCCTCCACCTCATCATAATCACCACCACCACCATCATCATCATCATCATCCTCCGGACTTACCTTTCTACAAACTTCTCATAGGTAGTGTTGGTGAGATGCTTGTATCTCTCCGGTCCTTTCTCCTCTCCATCTAGCTGTCATCATCATCGTTATCATCATCATCACAACCACCATAATCATTATTCTCCTCCTCCTCCTCATCATCAGTATCATCACCCCCATCATCATCATCATCCTCATCTCCTCAACATCATCATCATCATCATCTTCCTTTGGACTCACCTTTCTACAAACTTCTCATAGGTAGTGTTGGTGAGATGCTTGTATCTCTCCGGTCCTTTCTCCTCTCCATCTAGCTGTCATCATCATCGTTATCATCATCATCACAACCACCATAATCATTATTCTCCTCCTCCTCCTCATCATCAGTATCATCACCCCCATCATCATCATCATCCTCATCTCCTCAACATCATCATCATCATCATCTTCCTTTGGACTCACCTTTCTACAAACTTCTCATAAGTAGTGTTGGTGAGATGCTTGTATCTTCCCGGTCCCTTCTCCTCTCCATCCAGCTGCCTGATAGCAAGATGCATGGTTGCTAGGAGATGGGCTAGGTTCTCCTGCTGGATGTTGTTCATCCCTTCAGTACCTAAACAATATCAAATTCATTTCATTAAGACATAAATATAAATTTAATAAACTTTGTAAATTCTAAAATGAGTAACGTCAATTACATTTTAACAACTACAAAAATGATGTATTTCAGTTCATTATTAGATAACTACAAGTTAAATACAGCCATGAAGGATAGGAATAGAGAATAAAACACATTAGTAAAAATGTAGCATTGGTGTTTCTCTACAAGTCATGATGACAGTTTCCAAAGTTCTGAAACAACTCTTGAAACAGGAAACTCATAAAATTGTGCTTCAATACAAGTAAAAGCTCAAGATTGAAAAGGAACTTTTAAGTTATTCTTGTCTCCAGATAGATTCCTCCCATGTCAAAGAACAAGATGGAAAACAGATTGCAATGCACGTGGTCCAGTGACGCTTGTCCTGCTGCCGATTTTGAACGTTAACCAAAGTCACAACTTAAACCCTATCCTAACATCACACCGAACCCTAACTCTAACCCTAATGCTGATACTAACCTGACAACAAAATCGTAAAGTAAGCCCTATTCCTATGTTTCTATAAGACAAAGTCAAGAGCAATTGTTGCCGGCGAATATGTTGATTCACCAATCTTGAGAATAACATACCTTGCAGGTAAGCCATAGCATGGTCTACAACAATTTGACAACAAAACTGAAACTCAGCCCTATTCCTATGTTTCTATAAGATAAAGCCAAGAGCAATTTTTGCCGGAGCAAATGTAGCAAATCGCCTACATGTAGCAATTCAGTCACTAGAGTACCGTACCTTGCAGGTAGGCCATAGCGTGGTCTACAAGCCTTTCCCTGGTCCAGTGCTGATACCAGTGGCAGTTGAGATGCTCAGTGAGGGCGGGGTACTCTCTGCACCTTCGCTGGAAGTCTTGGCCAGTGTCGGCGGAGATCAGGACCACCCGGAAGTTGTTCCTCACGGTCCTAGTAAGGATTGATGGTCATTTGAATGAGTCAGGAGCCGGTAACTCTTTTCATTTCAATCAATACTGTGTGCTTTGGACTTTTTGTTTTCTCTTCTCCTCAAACGAGGTTTTTATTTCCATAATTTCAATAAATATTTACATTAATAACTGTGTGTGCTTTGGACTTAAGACAGGTCAGTTTCATTGAAGGCTACAAAATGTACAGGTACATGTATTCCAAAGAAATGTGTTTTCAGTGTAAGACAGCATGAATTAGCTGGATTACTACTTCTTGTTTAATAACACGGCTCATGTATGTAGCTCTCCTGATCTAACATTAACAGATCACTTTGTTATTTCATGTTTGTACACCTTAGCTGTTATTATATATGTTCATTAATGAAAAGTAATATAGAAAAATCAATGACGATCTATACGATTGATGATATATTACATTTCCGGAAATCAACTTTGGTACGAAAAAAATAAAGGAATGTAAATCACATGCAAAAGTCATTATAAACATTTATTGTCAAAGTGAGTTCTTACTTGAGGAAAAAGTTCCATGCTGTCTCCCGCGTATAGGTGAGCCCTGCGGCAGTGACCTCGGTGCGTATGGAGTTGATGATGGTCGTCTGCTCCTCACTGGAGAAGAGATGCGTGATGGCGCCAGTCACAACGAACTCGCCGACGTACACGAGGAAGTCTTCCTCGTGGAGGTCCTCTTCGGTCAGAAGGAGCAGTAGCTTCTCACCCTATCAGAAAAAAAATTAATATAATTTTTTTTTTACTGCATTCATTAAGTTTTACAAAGCCATTGGGCAAATTCAACACCACTCATTACTGCTAGAACTGCAGGAGTTTGCAACATTTGAATGAATAATGAATCATTTTTATATAATTCAACAATTTGGTTGCTCCCCATTGTATTCCTTGAAATTTAAAGACAAGATAAAGACCTGCACCAAGAAAAAAAAATTGACTTTAGAAGGTAAAAACCAATTTCCTGTTAACAATGCCTTGGATTCTCCAGTTGTTGATCGATTAACATACTACATGTATGTGTTTCATATTGCTCTTTTAAAATTAGCTGACTGATTCTTATTCACTTTGAAAAGTTCCCTGATTTTACTGTAAATTTTTTTACCCCCTTTTTAAAAACTCGTTCGTATGCTATATTTCAATATAAATCCACAACTACAGGCTACAATGCCACAAACCTTGACTCCCGCCTTGGTGTACATGGCCACAAGGTCAGCCTTGAACTGATCTATCTTGTAGTTCCTAGACGATGCCTCAGGGGCCGCACTGATCTCAGACACGCTGAACCCACACAGGCTGGCTGCTAGACGAGCAAAGAGGTTGCTCAGACCCGGGTTACCATCGGCAACCAGGAGGGCGTGGCCTACCTCGTGGGTTGACATCATCATGCGGGCCAGACGACAGACACGCTGGATGGTTTCCTGGATGAAGACAAAAGATCATCAATTTGGAAGTGAATAATAGTAATAATAATAATAATAATAATAATAACAATATTTATAAAGCGCAACATATTCATCTCTAGAAATGCTCAAGGCGCATACAAATAATTTAAATTAATATTCAACATATTTAAGATATTAAATGTTAACTTACATTAAAGGCAACTTGATACTAAAAGTAAGAAATTAATGAAGGCACACTATAACTTCAAAAGAAAGGCAGAAATATTTCTGACAACTTTTAGTCCATTTATTTCTCACCCATATCAAACTTCTGTTCAGGTCTTATATGGATGTTCTGAGTTAAGCAGAGATCTGCTGAAAGACAGAACTTGAGAAGGGTGTTGAGACAATGATGGTGGAAGTAAAGGTACCAGTTAGCACCCTCCTTAAGGACCAGTGCAACCAGTGCAGATGGGCTTTAAACATTGAGTCTTACCTTATACAGAGTCAGCTTGATCTTTGGATGTCCCTTGTTGTACTCCTCCACTGCATCCTGGAGCAGCCTCTGGACGCCGGCGACCTCCGAGCATGGTTGGTACTGGTCGGTGTTCTCCACCTCCGACCCAGTGGTGCTGCTGGTGGCTTGCTGGGAGCTGCGGTACCCACCGGCGGTGACTATACCGGAGTCCTGCTGGACGAGGTTGCTGAAGAGAGGCTGGTCGGGCGAGATGGTCAGCTGGAGCTATAAAGGGACAACAAAGATGGATGATGGAAAAGGATGATTAGTGAATGCTTGTAGACAGACAATTAGACAATAAGTTGCTAACTATTCATTCTCTGTTACAGGAATTGCAAACTGGGACAAAATTTATCAAATTAGGGAGAGGGATGGAGAGAGAGAGAGAGATGCCATTTGTGTTGTTGTCGAAAAGATAGAAATGCAATTCTTGTTTCTGGTCAGCTGGAGCTATGGATAGGACAAGGGACAACAAAGAAGGATGATTAGCCCATGGACAGATCTATAATTTAGACAGTAAGTAATGGTTTCTATGTTACAGGAATTGGAAGAAAAGAGGACAGACACTGAATTTGAAACCAATTCACTTACAAGATCCTTTTGTCTACTGATTGTCTACCAATATGCAAGTTAACATAGCAATAAAGACTAAAAGAGGAATAAATAAACAATAAAGCCCCTATCAGGGATTTGCAAGCCCCCTAAAAATGTATTCCAAAATTTATCTGTAACAGCAAGATTTTTTTCAATTTCAAAAGATGGAAATGCAATTCTTGTATCTAGCAATTAAAAACAATTAATACCTACCCATTTCTGATGACCGTAACTGCGTAATTATCAAAAATACAAAATAAAATATATATCCCTCTCAAAAAGGATTAAAATGTGTGGTGTCAACAAGATTGACTTAGCATTCTGCAGGGGTGATAGGGAGCACTAAAAAAAAATAGTTTTTTTTTGTTTTCCCCTAAACAATGCCCCCCTTGAGTAAGAAAAAAATTGGGGAAAAATAGGACAAAATAGGGAAGAATAGAGAACATAAGAGGGAAATCGGGAAAATCAGGATCAAAACGGGAAGAAAAAAAAATCAGGATTATTTTTTTTTTTAATCGGGAAGAAGAAAAAAAAGCGGGAAAAAATTGGGGAAAAATAAAAAAAATCAGGTTTTTATCAGGCCTGATTCTGTAAACTAAATAACTTCTCTACCGAAAGAATATTGATTGGTGTCAAAAAATTAAAAAGACATGTGTATTTTTTACCTTCCATTTTTGTAAGTTCAGATTTTATAATAACTATCTCAGACACTAAATTTTTTTAAAAAATGCAAGGACAATTATTCTCCAAGTTACACAAGAACAAACAAACATAAATCAATCCAGTTAGGAGTTTCCCTCTTCATTATCAGCAAACAGTACCCATGAAGTTTAGTGACATATTTAGTTCTCTCCAACGGAAAAAAAAAGAGATTTTAAGATACAATCTGAAAGGACAGGCAATCTTATACTTTCCCCCAAAACATGTGACTGAGTATTCACTTCTGTGTATTCCAAACTATACAACCAAAGACCACCAAATAGGGCTAGAAAAGATGAAGAACTTTCCAGAATTTGAAATATGAATATTAATTTGTGTGCATTACAGACTTATAAACAACCAAAAAACCACCGAAAAGGGCTACCTAAATAAGACGAAGGATTTTCCAGAATTTTAATTATGAATATTTATTTCTGTGCATTACAGACCTACATATATATATATATATATATACAACCAAAGACCACCAAACAGGGCTTAGAATTTGAAATATGAATACTAATTTCTGTGCACTACAGACCTATATACAACCAAAGACCACCAAACAGCTAGGGCTAAATAAGATGAAGGATTTTCCAGAATTTGAATTATGAATATTTATTTCTGTGCATTACAGACCTACATATATATATATATATATACATGTACAACCAAAGACCACCAAACAGGGCTAAATAAGATGAAGAATTTTCCAGAATTTGGAAGATGAATATTAATTTCTGTGCATTACAGACCTATAAACAACCAAAGACCATCAAACAGGGCAAAATAAGATGAAGAATTTTCCAGAATTTGAAAAAGAGATTTTAAAGAATGTGTGAATAATATTCAACTTCTGTGCTTGATAGGTCTACTACATACACGTACAACCAGAGAAGACCTTTAAGATGTTGTCTTAACATGATGAAGAACTTTCCAGAAAAAGTTAACAGAATCAAGACATTTAAAGACTGTCGATACTACTGGGCCAGAAGGGATTAGACCACACAGCAAGGTCACTGACAGGTGGCTATCTCATTAACTCAGCTCTCAACATAAGAAAAAGAGGATTATGGGGGACCAACAGGCACCGATTGGGGAAGTTTTCTATATAGAGGGAGCAAGTAGCTACAAGTAGGACAGTGGGGCTTTAATTGTAAAGTTCTGAAGTTACAAGTAATTAACAGTTAACTATCAGGCGTGACACCCACTTACAGTTAAACTTTTAATAAACCTGTGAAAAATATAAACAAATATCAATTCACTATTTGGTAGATAATGTTATCGAAAGGCACAGCAAAGCAAACAATCACACAAACAGAACACATAATCATACCACTTTCTCTCCTTTCATAACGCATCGTGCATTGCGGCCTGGGCTATATGATTCAGACTTTAAAAATGGCAAACGATATACAAGATGATATTATGGTGAATGTAGTATGAAAATGTGGGTGCATTACAAGGGAACAAGATGAATATAGGTGGTCATGCATGTAAATATCACAATTCACCCAAAGGTGAAATGGAAAATATAATTATCAACAATCAACACTTCTATCTATTTTTAAGTGACTTTGTATTTCTACATGTGAATGTCATTACATGGAAAGAAGAAATAGTTGCAGATGTCTATTTTAACCTGAACAAACATTATTACTTTCGACTGCAGGCATCGATCATAATACGGCATTTAAGGCCATAGTTTATCTCTTATCAACTAAGATTCTCATCACTGCAATGTGATGCATGTGCATTTGCAAGTTCTGAATAAATATGATGAGAAAAAATGCAAACTTTTGATAAATGTGGAGACAATTAATCAATAAAATTCTAGCACAATGACTAAACACTTGTAACTGATCGTATTAATATGCTAATTTGTGTTTGATAGTTAAAGTGATAACACAAGTACATGCAGGTGAAATGGCAACTACGTGTAAATGCATTTGATAACAACCAAAATTCAAAAAGACTTTGAAACATACACATAAGCTGATATCAACTCATTAAATCTGGTATACATTGTTTGGGTGGCAAAAGCACTACATATATGTGGAATGTACAGTACCTATCATGTACAGTGTATGAACTGTACATTATCACAAATAGATATTGCGTCAACATGCCGCAACAAGGTAGTATAGTGAAATCGTAGAGTGGTGTTGAAGAAAAAAAATCACAAAATTGGAATTAAAGTGCTGATGATTGCTAACAATGATGGATTATAAATAAAGCTGTATGTATCTATATACAAAAAAAAGGATTCTGTTCTAAATGTGTGGCGATGACTCATGCAAACATGGCAGAATGAAAAGCAATTGCATGCTAGGTGTTTGAAAAAGATTATTTGACATTACCGGTTCTTCGGCAGTGAATTCCTTGCGAGCCGCGGTCACGAAAGCCAGCTGATAACGGTCAAAGTCGACCGGACTGACCAGCCGCTGACCGTACACCCACTCACACTCGTGTCGCCATAGCAACAGGAGGTTGTCTGGATTGGTGCCGGGTCTCAGGGAGAGACAGATGTTCCTGAGGGAAGAAAAAGCATAAGTTGGTGTGAATATCTCCTGATACATGTGCATCAATAGCTACCCAAATATAATGAACTGTTAATACATTAGTTTAACTATTAATATTTTGATACTACCATTCGGTTCCATCAGATTTACATTACTATATAAGCTGATATATTCACGTACAGATATTTTCGCGAATGACAGGCTAAGAGACATTTTCACGAGTCGTTGCTTTCGCAAATAGCACACAGCAGCAAATAGCACACATGAAGTATGAAGTATTCACAAACTTTCTCACACCAACACATACATACGCAGAGATTCGGTAAGTACACACACAAGTCGAGGCAGCCCATCGCACCACATACAGCTAGCAGCCAAGTACCGCACCGGTACGAAGATTACATTGTGTCTATATTAGTCTAAGAGCCTTACACAGCTAATAAGACCTTTCGAATATAAACACAGGGTTTTGACAAAGTAAAGATGCAACTTACTGGAAGAGTCTCCTCATGTCTCTTAGAGAGAAGATGTAGTGGCATCTCTCAGCGGTGGCAAGGAACATACTCCTCATCCTCTCCTGGACCTCGATCGTCACGTTGACCATCATCGAGATTAGCGCCCTCAACTTCTCCTCTTCCTTGTCGATCAAGTGCTGTTTCTGTAATCACAAAGAGTCATTCATCATTCAAGTTAGTTCCTCTTTTCTCTTGCTTTTTTCCCCATTATATTTGTCGTTTCATTGCATATTTGTTGTGATATAATTATTCTTGTATTATGTTTTGCATGAGAAATAAAATCATTTGAATTGAATTTGAATTGAATCATGCAATTACAAGACAGTGAGTACCGGTTATTGATAATAAATTCTTGCCTGCTATCTTTTGGTGTAATAGTATGCTCTTGAAAAACCCATAGTCATGAGTAATTTTATACCATTCAAGTGTTTAACATATAACTAGAGCGCTCTCAACTTCTCCTCTTCCTTGTTGATCAGGTGCTGCTTCTGTAATCACAAAGATTAAGTCATCATGCAATACACCAGTTTACGGTTATGGGTGCCATTTTAATTTAAAAACCAAATACAAAATATTCAAATACTGGTGACAATATAATATAATTTATTAAAAACTAGAAAGTATGGAGGTAAATCAAAGAATTGTACCTTGTGGTCTCTGTTAGCATTAGACGAGGTTGTAGCTGGAGTCAGGAAGTGAGTGTGAAGAAGGGTGGTGAAGATATAATGCACCTCTGAATTCCTGTTTGACAAATGAGAGAAATAATTAGAACTGGGAATACTTTTTTAGGGAATAATGCAGAGCTGTAATTAATCAAAGCCCTATATCTGAATCAATTTATCAACATTTCAAATACTGTATAAGCTGATATTTTCGCGTACAGATATTTTCGCGAATGACAGGCTAAGAGACATTTTCGCGGGTCGTTGCTTTCGCGAATGACACTTTTGCAGTACTAAGTACTGTACTGTACTTCCGTATTAATTCACTACGCCATGCCTACACGCCATGCTACACATACCATACACAAAGCTATCGGAGAAGACACACCTCCCTGACCAGAGTTAGCTTGTGCGACATGCATACACAAAACATATCGCACAGCATCGCATCGCATCGCACTCGCACTACAAGCACTGCATCAGCACATAGGGCGCTCGTTAATGCCAATATGGGAAACCCCACTATAGGGAATTCCCGCTAGTGGCGATGACGTAGTTTTGAAAGCACATGTACTAGTACTGTGTGACATTGCTTACTTGTGCGGCGGGCGTTCAGGCAGTGGAAATTGTTTTGTGTGTCATGTTACGGGTGTTATGCCTGAGAGTGTGTGTTTGTGGATGTTGTTTACTTGTGGTAGATTTATTTTGAAACGATGAAGTCCGTAGGTCCAAACAATCATAGATTCAGTGAGTTGTTTCTCTCCCTTTGCCCATAAATGTTCTCATTGTTTATGACTCGCTTACTTGCTAGATTTGATTTGCAAATGGTAGATCGATTTATATTCAATTCAATTCAATTCAGAACTTTATTTCAGACACAACTACACAAGGCAGATGTCCATAAAACATATGTTACATAGATATATAGGGAGTATAAACATGATGAGTATAATAACTTTCTCGCGCCAAAATGCAACACATACACACACGGACTCGGTACACGCAAGTACATGTACACACACAAGTTTAAGCAGCCCATACAGTAGAGTACTTACCGTACCGGCAAATAGAGCGAGAAGGCTGATCGATTTTAAGATAGGGGTGCGAGCGTAATGCATGGTGATTAAAATACCAAGTTGACAACGGTTACAGAAGAGTAAGAGACGTTTGAAAAATGATAACTTCCCCACTTGCTGTCGCGGAAAGTGGAATCACCGAGTGAGTGTTGCAAGCTGTGCAAATGCAACCGCTGCTACACAATAAGCTGAGTGAGTGTGGGCGCGGCATGCACATGTTCGTAGTAGTGGCAGTGGCTAGGCAAATGGCGCTGGCGATCGAGAGGATAATATTACGCTGATATTTTCGCGCTCAGGAATGATGAGGTGGTAATATTTTCGCGTGTTGATAATTTCGCGATAATTTGCAATTCGCGAAAATTCGCGAAAATAAAACCCTCGCGAAAATAACAGCTTATACAGTAAAAGATTACTTCAAAACAGTTTTAATAAATTATAGTTTGTGCATATCTATTTCAAACAGTTTTGAAAAAAGTGATACAAGAAGGGTTATCTTTATATAAAGATATCTTCATAAACAGTTTAACTTTCAAAGTTTGAAGTTATGTCTCATGAATCATTGTTTTTTTCGTTGTCCTAAAGTTTGATATGTACAGTATGTTCCCCTTCTTATCTAAAGATCATACAATTGAATTGTATATTTTATCATATACTTCATTCAATAATAAGATAAAAAATTGCTGTTAAATGAATGTTCCACGATGGCAGTTTCACCATATGAATATCTGCTTACTTTGGATACGGCATGCCGAGCACAGCAAAGTGCCTGACAAGCCTCGGGTTAAGGGATGGTACGCTGGCCGGGGTCATGGGGTTGACTGTTGTCACGTAGGTCACGTTCTTGACCTCTCGCATACGATGCGTGTCCGGTTCGTAGAAACCGCCAGAGTCCAGGTGCTGTCTGACCATGGCTGAGGCCGACTGATGATTGAACTGATCGACCTGAGAATGGAAAGTAAACTTGTGTTACAATATTTCCTTTTCCTTTAAAAATTCGCCAGGCAACATATTGCATTAAATGCTGACATGAGATAGCCAAAAAATTTGATCAAATTGGGTCAGATTTATTTGTATAAAAAATTATGTAACTACATTGTAGAAGCAGCTTGTCACAACAGCATGTGTTAAATTGACAGAGTACTTGATTTCAAAATATTATTTTTCATGCAAAGCGTGACCAATAGTACCTTAAAGATTTGTGGCCCATTCAATTTCCTTCTTCAACTTTATATATCTATTGTTTCTGGTTAAGTTCTAAGGGTAGTGAAACAATAATTTACAGCTAATCATCTACCCAAGATATAATCAATTTTTTCGAATAGATTTTGATAGTAGAGATTGAACTATAGCTCGCACTAAATTTATACCCAAGAACACGTACTAGAATTATAACTCGAGTGTGTACTTACATAAGCTAAGTTGAGATCATCCACAAGGCACATGAGCTTCTTATTTCCCTTAGGAACGTATGTCCGACCATGACGCCATTCAAGCCTTTCCTCTAACCGCTGCCACAAGACACGGCTTGTCGTGAACCTAGCATAACCAAAAGAGACTTCTTCAATATAAAGTACAAAACCTAAGAAATGCTATCTTTTTGTGTATTATGGGGTATGTCATCATCTCACGATGAATTGTTTCGTTTTACTTTTCTGAAAGGCAATATGATAAATCTAATTGGTAGAAAAATAATCAGGGGAAAAAAATTCTTTGGATTCTCATTGCTTTCTCTAATCATTTACCTGTCTTTGACTTATCATATTCCTTTATTCCTGTTTCACTTATTATTTTCTCTCTTTTCTTTTTCTTTATTGTTTCAAAAATATCTCTACTACATGTACATCTCCTTCAACCTAGCTTATTGTCTTCATCTTTGGTTTCATTTCTTTCTCACTCTCCATCCCTCTAACTTTCTCTCTGTCTTTCCTATACGTTTACCTGTTAGCAGTGACAGTGAGTGCCAGGACCTCAGCCACCTCTCCAGAGCATACAGTACGGATACGATCATTGATGATAGCCGTCTTGCCACAGCCGGCCTCTCCAACCAACATCACTGGTTTACCAGCATCGGAGAGTAGACCAAGCAGATAGGAAATTTGCTGTTCAAAGATTACACACAAATACAATAAGACCTTCCCTGCATACAGACTGCTAGCTAATACTTCGGATTTACATAGCCAATTACACAAGCGAGCATTAATATATTGTAAGAATAGAATAGAGGCAAAAACCCTTCCTTGTGGTACTCCAAAAGTTCAATATTTTATGACTTTCGCCCAGCAGAGCACAACATTTCATTAAAAGCTGGTGAAATAATCTGATAGTATTGTATTAAGCATTGCAGAGTATATCTGTATATATTTGGGCACCCATTACTAGCAATACTACCATACACATATATTCAAAGTCATGCCTGAGCTACAACATATATGATACCATTGCATCATATCAGGAACATTCAAATATAAGCCTTTTTGAAAAGCAGTTTATGATTACCTCTGTGGTGACAGTGTGGACAAAGGCATCAAGTGGGATGCCCTCGTGTGGTGGCATGCTGTAAGGTGGTACAGCCTCGGACCAGATCACCATCTCACCGCTCTCACTGTCCACAAAGTAATCAAAGACCTGTGCGGAAGGAGGCATATATAGAAGCGTGTGATCCATTGTCTGGTGATGTACTCAAGAGACCACAATAGTAAATAATAAACAGAAATTAATCAAGTGCCGGTACCTATTCTTGTAATCAATCCTGTTTGTCCCGTCTTGACTGTCCCACAGTCAATATCTTACACTAACTGAAGCCTCAACTTCAACCTTTGTTCAGACACTTATGCGTAACTCTAACCCTGAACCATAACAAAATCCAAACTGCAACCCTAACCCTTAAGCCTGGAGCAATCGTTACTGGAGCAAAATGTCAGGTTAATCTCAGCAGAAATGATCATTTCAAGGCAACTTATAAATTGTACTCCTCCCATATTACAATGTAAGATATGATAACATACTATATCACTGAAGATTTCTAACAAACATTTCCTCAACTCAAGGAGACATTTTTTTTTCTCCTGTGATTGAAATGGTTCCCACACGAGTTCTCGGAACTGTTTCACAAAGCCTTTTTTCAATAACAAATTACAAAAATCAGTGACAAATCTGTTGATAACCAATCAGAAGCAAGGAATTCAGTAGCATATAACGAAAACTGTCATTTGTCACTGATGACAAGTTTTGTGAAACGCCCCCATGATCTAAGCAGGGCATTACTCACCTCCCCTTCTTCAGGATAAATCTCACGTTTCTCCCATTTAGAGCGCCACCAGTGGCTGAAGGTTGAACGGTGCTTTTCCTCCAGGGTTCCACCCAACGCCCAGACCGCAGCAAAGCTGACGTAGCGCTCATATTGCTCATCGCTCAGCTCTGTGTTCTGAGCTATGATGGCCTATCAGAAAGATATAGAGAATACTTAAGAAATTGCAGTCATAATGAATTCATGACATTTTGATCTCACAGAGTTTCTGGTTTTACAGATAGAAGACAAAGAGCTGAGCTTATATCCAAATGTATACGATACCAACAGGAATAGACAGGATTGACATAAATTTCTTAATTCAGATGCACAACTCGTTCCTGTTTTCACGAGGTGACGGTAGTCAGGAAACTCTGCACCAAATTGTATGCGATTTTCATTCACTACCGTCACTTCGTGGAAATAGGGGCGAACTGTGGTAGAACCACAGGTCATAGCATGAAACTCAAGAAACATGAGTGCAGACCATAAATAAATGAATTAGAAACGGTGCTTTAGTTTTAGTACCTAGAGAAGACAGAATGCTTTTAAATTAAGAAACGTGAATAACTGGAATGCATTACCAGAGGAAGCAGTCTGTGCCACTAGCATCAACATGTTCAAATCTGCTCTTGAGAACATTTGTTATTGATAACAAGTATTATGGACAGGTTTGACAATAACATCAAATAATGAGAGTTGTTTCTTACATCCAAGATGGCACAGAAAGTCAGGACCATATTGCTCTCGCTGGTATCTACTATCCTCTTCATCTTGGGCCTCTTCCTCTGTTTACTGGTCGTCATGACAGCTGGTCTAAGACACAGGTCTAGGTACTCAAAGGTTGGACCAAGGTACATGTCGGTCAGGGCCTTCAGGATGTCCTGGTCCTTCTCTGGGCGTCGGTCAAGCCAGGTGGTCAGGAGCAGGGCCCAGCTGACGTCGGACCGGTCCATAGAGAGTAGGCCTACCCGGGAGAGTAGACCAGGACTAAGCTGGTCCATGCTCTCAATCTAGGATACACATATTGGATGAAATGATGGTATTATACAACAACAACAAAATCAAAGGCTACAAAGTCATAATGTACAGTGGGAACACTTTGAATATGAAGTCGGTGTATCTAACACATTAAAATTTAAATGCGTTTTTAAAGTTGATTTAGACTACCGGTACTTGAGTACCAAACAAGAATTTCTGAATCCAAACATGGCTAAATTTTTGTAATAATAACATTTAATTTACATGCATAAGTACATCCCACAAAATATATGTTATTCCTATTCTTCACTGAGCAAAAAACTGTTCTGAAGATATATATATATATATATATATATATACATTTTTTTTTTTTAATGATATAATTCATAAAAAAAAACATTTGCAGCCCAAAAGCCGAATAACAGTTTTTTTTTACAAAGTATACATCAGTGACAAAGTAAAATTACACACAAAATATATGCATGATAACATTATGATACTAAAATTGCAATTCCATTTGTACATATAATATATAATTGTGTACTACTTTCTATTAAACGATCACAATACCAATACACATTGCCCATCGTCATATGTTCCTAAAAAGGAATATATTTGAAAATCTTACCTCCCAGAAAATGGAGAAATTATCCGGTATGTGAACACGCTCATTGTTGGCTAGAACTAAGGTTCCGTCGTGATCAAATAGAGAACTGAAGATCTCCATCTGAGTGGGATTTATCTACAAATAGATAACAAAAAAACAAATGATAACAATCAAACTTGCAAGCAACACTGTATAATTACATGTATTTGGTAAGCTTTTTAATCAAAAAAGGCATGTCATTCATATGTAGATTGACTTTGATCCAAATTGGGAAATATGATGTTTCAAATATAGTCAGATTGCCATCTAAATGACCAATACAAACGGTTAGATTTAGCATATCCAAAATACTAATGAAACTGCGTATTAAAATGGAATAAGATTACTACTGCATACTAACCAATTTAAAGATTCTAGAGCTTATTTCCATTTGTTTAATTCCTAGCATCAGACGCAATATAGTCATGAAACGAAAAATAGATGCAGTGTGTTCAGAAGATTTTGCCATTTCTACTCATGCATCTGGCATATTTGTTTAGGGCTCTGAATCAAAAAATATTGAACCAAGTCACAAAATGTGGAGTGATTGTTGCGAAAGAGGTGTAAGGATCTAGTTGCCAAGCTGGACAAGGAGAGAACAACATTATGCCCTATTACCTCTCCATCTAGATGCATAGCCTTTATGTGAGGTTTGGTTTGGCTGAAGTCTGCTTTGGGAATGAGGCACAGCTTACGAAGCAAAGCGATGAATAGACCATCACGCCATTCCCTGCAAGAAAACAAGATGAACATGAAATTAATCACATTACACATATGTTGTCATTGAGATAACCACAGCTCATACAGAAATTTGCGGTATCGGGAAGTACATAATTATAATAATAATAGTGGCAACTTGTATAGCGCACAGGTCCACCTTTCGCTGCTCTTGGCCCTTAGAAAAAAGTACATGTAACAGACACAAGAAATAAAAAAAATAAATAAAAAAATTATATCATTAATTATTCCTGTACTATTCCTGCTGGTCCAATCAAATAACAAATTTAATTCTACTTTACATTAGAAACTTCTACAAACATTCAATCATATACAGTGAGATCAATATCACTGTAAATATTACAATCCTATCAAACTGCATGGTAAATATTGTACGTCTCTTCTTTGATTATGAATTTGATTACACATATTGATGTTGTCTATTTCTGTTGTCATATTCTAGCTAGAGTGTCTGTTTCATCCATTTTATTTTTCTCTTTTCTCTCAATCTTTCTCTTGCTCCCTTACACTGACTTTGTTTCTGGGTGAGACACTCATTCAATCTCTCTCTTCCCATCTCCTTCTTTCTCTCAATCTTGCGCACGCTTCCTTTTACTTACTTTGTTTCAGGGTCAGCACTACCGAGAAGCTCAACAGACTATCTGTCACCATCTTACCAGTCTCTCTCTGCCGTCATTTTTAGACTTTCTTTCTATCTCTCTATTTCCTTCTCCATCTTTCTCACTTTCCTCTCTCTCTCTCTATCTCTCTCTCTCTCTCTCAGACACACACACACACATAACCTTCTCCCATCTCTCTCTCCCATGCCTTTCTTTCATTCCCTGTATCAATATCTCTCTCTCTCTCTTTCTCTATCCCTATCCATCCTCTCCTGTATAAATGCCTCTCTTTGTCTTCCTTTTACTTACTTTGTTTCTGGATCAGCACTGCCGAGGAGCTCCACAGACTCCACCGCTTGAAGGAAGATCCTATGGGCTGTCACCATCTTACCGGTCTCTCTCTCTGCCATCATCAACGTCTTGATACACTCACTTTTACCACAGCCCGGGGGTCCAGTAACAATCACCTGTATAACAGATAATGTGAAACAATATCAATAATTGCTTTTCAATTGTATTATAACATCCGCAAGATAGGCCTGAGCCCCGTCTTACAAAATGTTGATATCAATCGCAACTTTATATTTGTGAATGATATCAATCACAACTATGTACATAAGAGATAGGAGACTACAAACTTGTGATTGATTGGAGGACTTGTGATTGATTTGGCCTTGGTTGATTTTTGCAATTTGGAGATCATCTCCCTTTCTCAAAGTATGCTTGAGCTTTTGCTCCAGGCTGCTTTTCTTCTTTAACTGATGGTTCCATAAAGTCCATACAAATGATTTAACAGTAAATCAAAACAAATTGAACATAAGGAGATACAACCAATGTATCTATCAGTAATGGGAGGAGCTCAGTGGCAGAGTAGTGGTCTTTTAACTGGATGGTTATGATAATGAAATAAAGTGGAAAAGCTAGTCTCCTCTTATAAGGCTTCAATCCCCAAGAACGAACTACCTTGGATAGGAGTGTGGGTCAACAGTTGCTTGTGTACAAGAACAAGTTTTCTTGGAGCATGCAAACAAAATAGACTCATCATCATCATCATCATCATATTTTGAGGCATATTTTTGATAAGCCATTTATGTGCTTTTAATGATCCTCCCACTTCAGATATCTTATTATATATGTTTGTATTTTGAAGATTATATAATATCATTTTTATCTTGGAGTGGAAATACATAAACGAAAATGAAAAATATTTATCATCATCATGAAGACTCACCGTTTGATGTGTACTGGTGAGCTGACATAGCTGAGCAACACGAGCCTGGAACGAGGTGCCTGGTAGCAAGCCTAGCTCGTTGGTTGCCACGGCGATAGCGGAGTGGATGTCATCAAGGTATTGTTTCTCTCCTCCGCTGTTAGGGAGGTAGCTCTGTATCAGCTTGCCTGCAGGCTGGGCTGTGACAACAGGAGTGTTCAGGCTTATGATGTCTGTAAGGAAAAGTGGACATACAAATAGTAATCATATTATTATGTGCTTACCTTTTTTATAATAATAATACAAATTTTATAAAAATATATGGATATTTATATAGCGTCGGTATCCGCCAGGCTCTGATGCTCATGGCGCTTTACACATATTACCCTAGTTATAGCCAAGCTGCCAAAGTAACTAGCGCTCAAGCATATCGGGTACCTACAGTTGTATTTACACCTGGGTGCAGAGTGGGAAATATAGATTAACGTCATTATATCATTTTTGTTAATCTGTTGATATATTGTTTGCTAACATATCATAACCAAGTTTTTAACTTTACTAATATTCACTTCATCTATTGTTGAAAGTATTTATATACATTTTCTATATTAATAGCGTAGAATTCAATCAGTTTATGTGTTAGGATCAAGAGGATATTTGTTTAAGACATGCATGTCATTTTATGATAACATCAGCTTCAAACAAGTATGCACTACATATATATGGTAACGTTTCAATGGGGCTTAACAATGATCCACATTTCCCACTAATATTCCAATAATCTTTATCTAGTACATGTATGTAATCCTTCAAACTTAGTCACTCAATTTCGTTCTCTTTACCATAGATGGTTCTTGTACTGTTTCGACAAATCTAGAGGTCAGTGACACAAAAACGTAACTCCATTTTGGCCATTTTGGGAAAAAGTGGTTTATGTGTCACTGAGCACTTGGGCCTTAAGTGTTAAGTCTATGTTTCACTAGCCATCGACTTCAAAGGGGTGTTGTGTGGAGTTAAGTCTTTGTGTTTCATGGATAACCCACATTTTTCTGAACATATCAATATCAAATACTCATTTTGGCAAAATATGGAGTTACGTCTATGTGTCAATAAACCCTTGAAATGTAAACAAGTAAAACTCACCGGATTTCTTGCCAACTGATGGGTCGACTCCTCCAAAGCCCATGTCCACCGGCGTGTCCGGGAAGACATCCGTTACCATGGTAACAAACATCTCAGCATCACTGCCGTGGAGGCGGGGCATGAAGGTGTTACGGAGAGCGCTCACGATGGCCTCACTCTCGTACTTGGCCAATGTCTCAGGTAGCTCAAAGGTCCCTAGAATTAAGATCAAGAGAAAAAAGATAGTGGGAATGGGAACAAAAGATGCATATTCAGTAGGTACATCTATTTGTCAAATATAAAACTAAAGAGCGAATTTACTGATTTTAAGGGCCCAGGGCCCCATCTTAAAAAGAGTTGATATCAATCGCATCTTATTTGCAACTATGTACATAAGAGAAAGGAGACTGCAAACTTGTGATTGATTGAAGGACTTGCTATTGATTTGGATCAATCGCAACTCTTTGTAAGACAGGGCCCTGTTATTAATAGTTAATCAGAATTGATGGATGAAGACTGCCTGGTCAATTGAAATAAGGATGAACATGTATTATACATAAATCCTGATACGTCTATTTTGGAGGAAGGCTTTTAAAAGCTATCCACTTACCCTTTTCATTTTGCTTTTCTTCGTCTTTCTCTTCTGATTGATCTTCCTCAGCAACGAACTGCAGCGGATCCCTGTCCTCAATGCTCACCAACTCAGCCAAAGCTGGTAGGAAAGAAAGCAAAACATGCAATTAGATTATCAACAATCGTTTCTAATATTCGTACATTTGATAATACGTACATGTTTATGTTTGAAGGTTTAAGTTTGCATGATTACAGGTATGTATTCAATCATTCGGATTCGTACCCCATTTTTCTTTTTGTGTGTGTGACCACCAAGACTTTTGTGGGAAGAAATGGATAAATGAATTGAATAAAAGGGGTGATGCGTACCTGTTTGGTATTCTTCTTCCATGTAGTTAGCCTGTAGCTCATCCAGTAGATTACCTGCTTCAGTGATGATATTCCTCATGTTACGAATACTCCATCCATGGGGGCCTTCATATGCTGCATTCCCTGCAAATACAAACAAACAAACTTTTATTTAAAATTTGGTTATACTAGTACAACTGTTGAATCATTAAAGAAATATATTTTAAAACATGTCTATTCGTACTGTACTTAACCAACTGAAGTTAACTGTTTTACATTTGTAGTATATTTTGTAAGTTTTCTTGTATTAATTAATATGTTCTGTTAACTGCTTTGATCAGTTCTTATTTGGATATAGCGCTAAAGAAGAAAAAATGTATTTTTATCATAATTTTAAGTGCAAGGTGGGCTTATATTTGAAAAGGCAGGACCTTCCCAAGCTCATTGATGGTCAAGATGAAACATGGGATGCCCTTTGCCCAAAAGTTCTTACGGTCATTCTTATATGAGAAATGAAATATAACAATGTTCTACTTCTTTGCTGGAAAGCCGGACACGACTCAATCATCACTCAATTTTGTTTCAGACTCACACAATATACTCTCAAAGTACAGTAATGACACATATATACTGAAAAAATAAGGCTTTTTTTAGGTCTATATCTGATCTAAGGGAATTTGTTACAGGTAAAGAAAATACAAGCAGAGCCTCCCAGGCAGTCTAGAATGACATGCCCTAGCCTGTGGTGCGAATGTGGACCATGTTATGGACTTTGAGAAGCCCTGAAATAGAATATCAACTTACTGAGTTTGTTGTCATTGTAAGATTTTAATTTTACTGATTGAAATGATTACAAGTTTATTTTACATTTTCCACTCTGTTATGCTTCAGGACATTCATTGTCTGATGTCTGTTAAACTCTTGGTTTCTATTGTGCTGTCCCTATTCATTCATCCTCATTCAACATTACCTGCCATAGCACCACCCACACACTCTTCCTATCTCTTGGCTATTCAACCCAGCTCACTATAGACACATGTAAGACTAGTTTTGTCTTGTGTGAGTCTTACAACTGATGGCAGCGGTGGGATTCGATTCCACGCCTACAAATGTAGACTGCGATTGACATGCCCTGTAATGCAAATGTGGAACACATTTCATACTTTGAGAATCCCTGAAATAGAATACCGACTTACTGAGTTTGTTGTCATTGTTGACTGTGAGGCCTGTTGGAATGATCTTGATGTACATCTCTCTCAGTGAAGCTAGTCTGGTAGATAGATCAGAAGCCTGTCTGAAGCCTGTGACATTAAAATACAATCAAAGGTAAAACAATAATCAAAATCTGGATTTATCTAGAGCTTAATATGAAATACAATGAAACCTGTCTATAAAGACCACCAAAGAAAGACAAGAAAAATGGTCTTTATAGGCAGGTGGTGTTTATGTACAGGTTCATTTAGTACATGTTTTAATTAGAAACCTTTTTCAGGGGAAACAAAAGATGTGGTCTTTGTAGACAGGTGGTTTTTCTATACAGGTGGTCACTAAAGCAGGTTTGACGGTACCATATCTTAAAGTGCTTTACAGATATTATTATTATTAATACCCTGGTCATCGAATTTCATTCACATACAATGTGCACCATCTCCACTCTATGACTAATAAAAGAGCTTTCATAGATGAACAGAAAAGTTGAAATTTCAGATTGTGTAAGAGTAGATACCTTGTGATAGTAAGATGATCTCCATGGCAATCCTGAAGTCAGGATTGGTGATGGACACTGTCCTGAACAGCCCGGTCAAGTCGGACGGAAGCATGGACATGGTAGAGTTCAACACCAGATGGCGGTCTATATTTGACATGGACGGAGCCTGGAGGGCACTGTCCAAGGTGGCGAAGCACGCCCCCAAGGGATTGAGGGCGATCTCCTCACCGAGGGCAGCGTATGTGATGTGAGGGCGCTTTGCACGAAGAGCTTCCAGGAACGTCTGGAGGAGCTCGCTGAGGACGCTCAGTGCACCTGGGACGATGTGCGCAAGGTTGTTGAAGCACACCCAAGCTCCTGGAAAAAGAAAAAAAATATGATAAATATTATGGCTTAAATAACTGAAAAAAGGGTGCTTTGCACAGAGAGCTTCCAGGAAAGTCTGGAGGAGCTCGCAGAGAACGCTCAGGGCACCAGGGATGATGTGCGCAAGGTTGTTGAAGCACACCCAAGCACCTAAAGAAAAAATATATGGATAAGAAATATCATAGTACGTAGGGCTTAAGTATCTAGATTTGATAGTCATTTCATTATGTACATATGACGAACGTACAGCAGCACAAAGAGAAGGCAATTACAGACTCCAAGGACAATGTGCGCATTTTACTGCGCAAGGTTATTGAAGCACTCCTAAACACCTGCAGAGAATGCACAAAGTAGGGCTTAAGTTACTGGAAAGGTTCAAGTTTGTAAGGTATCACTTTCTGGTCATATTAAAAATGCAGTTTTTCCAAGAAGTAGGAGTACACAGCCTGAACCAGAGCAGATAGATCATGCATTCATAATGACCTAATGAAAGCATATAATTTGTCAAATACAATGAAACCCCCAGATACTTGTTACTTGATTCAAAATGGAATCATTTGAAGATTGGTCCACGTCATTATCGATGGTAAATGAATCCCAAATTTATTGTACATTTACCTTACCCAACACAGCATATAAAGTACACTTATACCTCTATATGCCCACTGCTGCAAAGCGAAAACTTAAACACTCTCCACACTTTTTCAAAATTTGTGATACCCTCAATGAATGAATCACATAAGACTGCATTCAACCAATTATATGACTATGATTTAACCCCCCCCCCCCCTCCCCCTGTACTACTTGTAGCTACTTGCTCCCTCTATAAAGAAAACAATGCCTAAGTGGTGCCTGTTGGTCTCCCATGAACCTCTTTCTCTTATGTTAATTGAGAGCTGAGTTGATGAGATAACCACCTGTCAGTGACCTTGCAGGGAGGTCTAATCCCCCTGGCCAAACTAGTACAGACGGGCTTTAAGAGTGAGTTGTACAAAACCAACAGATGATAATGAAAAACTCACCAGTGGATGCCAACCCCCTGAAGATATCAACCAGCATCAGAGCATCCATAGTCTTAGTGCAGTTGAAGACATACAGCGGTTGACCTACAATACGGCTCAGCTCTCTCGCCGTCTCTACCCGTCCACTCAGCTGTGTGACAAATTGACACAAAGTTTAATAGAATACAGCAAAAAATAAATTCTAAGTGTTTATTTTTCTTGAGTGTACTAAAATAAATAAGCCTGTACAATTAATTTTGAGGAAGGTTTGAATCACTCCACAAGCACATTTTTTTTTCTTCACAAGATTAGAATGATCATTATCCAAATAGGCCTCCATCTTTTTCTTCATCGATTGTATCATGAGTAGTGGAAATCTAATTAAACTAATGATATAGCATAGAAAACTAGATGGAATTTTGACTGCGCGCAGTCGAAAATGATGCCTCCGCCAAAGAGCAATTTAAACAAGTTTGGAGTTTAAATCTCCAGTGGTTCTTGAGATATCATGATAACAATCTCAATGTATGGAATTTCATAAGTTGACCTCTGTGACCCTTGACCTTTGACCTACATGCTCCAAAATCTAATCAGATTGTCTTCCTATGGTGATACACACTATCATTAAGTTTGAAGTTTAAATCTCCAGTGGTTCTTGAGATATTATGATATGGTGATACATACTATCATTAAGTTTGAAGTGAAAATTCTCCAGTGGTTCTTGAGATATCGCGATAACGATCTCAATGTATGGAATTTCATAAGTTGACCTCTGTGACCCTTGACCTTTGACCTACGTGCTCCAAAATCTAATCAGATTGTCTTCCTATGGTGATACACACTATCATTAAGTTTGAAGTTTAAATCTCCAGTGGTTCTTGAGATATTATAACAATCTCAATGTATGGAATTTCATAAGTTGACCTCTGTGACCCTTGACCTTTGACCTACGTGCTCCAAAATCTAATCAGATCGTCTTCCTATGGTGATACATACTATCCTTAAGTTTGAAGTTTTTACATCTCCAGTGGTTCTTGAGATATCATGATAACAATCTCAATGTATGGAATTTCATAAGTTGACCTCTATGACCCTTGACCTTTGACCTACGTGCTCCAAAATGTAATCAGATTGTTTTCCTATAGTGATACACACTATCACTAAGTTTGAAGTTTAAATCTCCAGTGGTTCTTGAGATATCATGATAACAATCTCAATGTATGGAATTTCATAAGTTGACCTCTGTGACCCTTGACCTTTGACATACGTGCTCCAAAATCTAATCAGATCGTCTTCCTATGGTGATACGTACTATCCTTAAGTTTGAAGTTTAAATCTCAAATGGTTCTTGAGATATCATGCTAACAAACTCAATACAAGGAATTTCATAAGTTGACCTCTGTGACCTGTGACCTTTGACCTACGTACTCCAAAATCTAATCAGATCGTCTTCCTATGGTGATAAATACTATTCCCGAGTCTTAAGTATAAATCTTAAATGGTTCTTGAGATATTGTGATAACGGTCAAACGGGACGGACGGACGGACGGACGGACGGACGGACGGACGGACGTACGGACGGACGGACGTACGGACGGACGGACGGACGGACGTACGGACGGACAACCCGAAAACATGATGCCTCCGGCACCACCTTCGGTGGCGGAGGCATAAAAATATATAGACATTCCTCCTTTGCACATACATGTAGGTGATAATAAAAAGTGGTATAATATGCAAAGGAAATTATAGTCTATAATGCTGTTTAGGAGTAGATTTACTCATTGCAAAACAAAGTACACACAAAAAAGTTTTCAATTTAACGATTTTAGAAAAGCAATTCCCGAACATGCATCATAGGACTTTACAAGCTATATCTCAGGAAAATGTTTTTTTCTTTTTTTTCTTTTCTTTTTAATTTTAAATAAATATCTTTAAATGCAATGAAAAAGGGCAGCTTACATTAGATCCTACACACATGGCTGCAGAGTGACTCTTGACCGTGCTAGCCATGCTGTAATACATCTTCTCTGTGCCTGGAAGGAAGGCTAGGCGGGCTGCCGATCCTTGGTATTCAAATCCATAGTCAAACTCTGCATCTAGGAGCTATAGATGAGACACACACAAAGGGTAAAAGCTTATTATTCTGTAAAGGAGGACATTTTCGTCTGGAAAGAGGAAATGAAGAATATCAGCAACTCGTCACTAAGACTTGTTCATCAGTTCAAACTACATTAATATTTAATATTTAGCATGCCCAAAATTTCTCAAGAATAAAGAAGAAAAAATGCATTAAATAAGTGAATGGAAATTCAATATAAATGAATGCATGAATGAATAACTAAATAAATACATGAATGGATGAATGGAGGAATGGAGGAATGGATGAATGAAAGAATGAATCAATCAATCAATGAAAAAAGAATTAATGAATGAAAGAAAAATGAATGAAAGAAAAATGAATAAAAGAAGGAATGAATGAATGAATGTATGAATGAAAGAATGAACGAATGTATGAATGAAAGAATGAACGAATGGATGAATGAAGGAATGAATGAACAAATTAAGGGATGAAGGAATGAACGAATGAAGAGATGAATGAATAGATTATTGAAAGCAACTTTTTAAAGCAACTTAATCAAAAGTGCACTATGAATTCTCTTTACTATTATCAGACAAAATGTACAAGGGACAAAAATGAATGTACACCGGCCTTATTATTTTCCCTTCCCTTTAACATGATGATAATTGAAAGTATATTTATAGATTACTTAAATCAATTATTTATGTCGAAGGCAGAAAAGATACTGGAGGGGACAGAAATGAGGATGTAATGAAAGGGGTAACATTAAGAGACAAGAGAAGAAACATAGGAAACAAGAAAGGAGCTGAAGGTAGCTAACATCCTGCAGAAGGTTAGTGAGATGAGACTGAGATGGTTTGGACTCTTGACATGGAGAGGCTCATGAAGGAAAACTAGCAAAGGGCAGTGTGACTGACGCGAGCAGTGGAAGGAAGCAGAGGAAAAGGAAGGCAGAAAAATTGTTCAGAGAGACATGAGGGAACTAAATCTGACAGCAGCTCAAACAGGGAACAGAAGAGAATGGAGACAGGGGATTCGGCCAAGGGAACAGAGGATTTGGGCAACCTTCATGTACCCTTGCTAAGGGAAAATGGTTCCTGGAATAGTTGTAGTTATAGATTACTTAAACAGTAGCAAAATTTGTAACTTCCTTAAAACTTGTTTTGTATTTTCTTCCGTTTTGCAATCACATAATGTATATTTGTCATTACACTTCTTTACACTTCTTTGTTATGTACAATTCTGCAGTTTCTGTTGTATAACAGATGAATCAATTATTTCACATTTGGTATTGTTTTGGGTTGTTTAGTGGACTACATACCTTGACCTTCAGGTTACTGCTGCTTTCATCCCAGGTGTATCGTAGCTGGCTCTTCCATTCAAAGCAGTCAGCAAGCTTGCCTGTCTCATTTTGTTTCTTCTCAAATCTGTGAAAATATCATCATACATTAAGATTGCTGAATAAAACATTAACAAAATAATATGGAAAATATCATATTCCTCCATTTTGGTTTCATAATTTCTGACATTTCATTTCACTTATCAATTTCCACATTCAAAGATAATGCAATATATAAAAAATATGATAATTACAGCGAAACAATACAAATCGAAAACATTCAACAATTTAACAATAAAAGAACATACAAAAAATGAGAAGGTATAAGAACTACCTGCAACACTTGGATATTTGAATGTGGGGAATATTTAAATGTGGGGGGATCTGGGTTTTTAAGTGCTATTGCACTGTAGATAAGATTTATATTTCTTTTTGAAATTTAACAATGTTGGACACAACTTCAAATCATTTTGGACAGTATTCCAGCATTTTGTTCCAATAAATGGCAGCTTAGGTTCTGATTGATCTGATTCCTTATATACTCTGCTGGCTGATTCTGTCACCTTAATTATGTGCAATCGTTTGATGTCCGTCTTGCTTATATTAATAGTGGAATCTTGAGGGTGCAATGTTGAATAACCAAACTGCATGATGGTTTCAGATCTGTCACCTCTTTATCTTGTTCGGTGATACCATGAACAGTAAGGCAATTTCGACAGGAATATAATTGCTCTTGGATGTTGGTGTTTTGTTTCAGGGGATCAACAGCGGCCTCCTGTGTTTTCATCTTCTTTTCCAGAGCTTTGATTTCTTGATCTTTCTCTCTGGCCCCCAACCCGAGGTCAAGGACCTGGCCTTCCAACTTCTCCACTGTCAAAGTCAGTTCTGAAAGCCATTTGCTAATCTCATTCGCTACCAATTTTAGGAAATCCTTGTTCGTCAGTATGTCTTGTATGACTGCAGAGATGACGTTCTGTTGGGTAGATTTTCCTGCAGCTTTCCCAGTTGTTAGCCTTGTAATATTCATTGAGGGTGATTCATCAGCCATGGCCATGGTGGATATTAGCTATATAGGTCCTTAGCCCAACCAGAAGAATGAGTTTGTTGAATATATGATGTTCAGGAACACAATTGATGAATTTAGATGTCACGGTTGGCTGGCTTTGAAAAAAGTTCATTCAAGTCGGCCACATGCAGCGCCATAAAAAGACCAACAGTAATGCAAACGTTTGGTTTCACGCAAGGGCATGGACTGTAGATATAATAAGTTCCTCTAGAAAATTTTACTTCAGTTTGTAAAATTCAGCTCCAAAGTTCAGCATTTATACCTCATACTTTTGTTCCAAGTTTTGAGTCATGCAGTTCTTTTGTTCCGTATATTTTATCAATGAAAAGAGTTTGATCCAGCAAATCTTGTCACGTACATGCATACCGATATTGCCCGCAATGACAGATATACTATGCATACAAATCATAGGACAGAAGCTAGCTATAAATTTGTTTTGTCAGCTTTATATAGTACCAGTAGCCACAAGTTAAAGTGCACTTGGAATCTTGCCAAACGCATGCAGCCATTCACGATACTTCATTAGTCTGCAAGCACAGACTCTCATTTGACGATTGAATGCAATTCCATAAACTGTCTATAGTGGCATATATAGCCAAGATTTTGTCAGTAGGGGGGCATGCACTAGCTGTAGGGGGCACAAGAAGAATATTAGGGTTTGTTGCCCTGATTGATCATAACCACATCATAGCTCCAGTAGTCTCATTTTTCTTGCTGGATCTGCAGAGCAAATTAATGCATACAAATACCAGGAACAGTACTATTTCTTCTCTCAAACTTTCCTTTTTTTATAAAAATGCAGCCATTGTGATCTAGAAATGCATTGAAGTCCTCAGGATAGGACTATATCTTATAATCCTGAGGTGCATTTTGCAGACAATTTAACTCTCAATTTTTTAGAATGTTCCACTGTACGTGTTGCAGGGGGTATGCTGAGCAGCCATAACAAACTAAGCACAAAATATATGCCACACTCGTCCATATATGCATGATAAAATCCTTTTACAACAATGATTGATATTTTCTAATTTTAACAGGAAAATGAACCTACCAAACTTTGTAGAACAATGAAATACTTGGTTGAAATTATGGGAGTTTGCATGGTGTACAATTGCACCCCTCTGTAAATAATCAAATAGCCCAACATGTCATGAATATTCATACATCTTGCTTCCCTAGCCTGGGGTTGTCAGAATTTGCCGTAAATAGAACTGATCTATGTTTGTTATCCTTTTTCACTGTGTGATTGACCTACATGTATAACACTCGCATTTACAGTTTGTCACTTGGTACACCATTGTCTGTAGTCTACATGTACGTAGTCAGGAGATTCTAGCCACTGGACAACTGAATCATTTTCACATTCTGTTAATTGTTTGTGCAGTTATATCTATCTACTTTCTGTCTTCTTTTCACATTTGAATAAATTATAACTGTCTTAACACTGGATGACAGGAACCCCCCCCCCCCCACCCCCCTTTGTGTGCAAGTGTGTCTAGTGTCTACACATCTATTGGACACTCATTTCCATGTCTGAGGAATAAGACTACATAGACAGCTAGTCTCTGTACTTCAGCCGCTCTTAATTGACACAGCCAGAGAGTGCAACAACTAGCCACTGCTCAAGGTATGCAAGGCTATTGAATTGTATTAAATTATAAAATTAAGTCTTGTGTTTACAGACTACTACATGTACATGAACTGTGATTGCCCTTGCAGACTGCCACACACATGTTGCTGTGATGAGCTGAGTATTTACATACGGGAACCACACTCATTGGCCGGACTACAGCTGATCGATGCAGGTTCTCTTATATAGGTTATAGTTTAGCTATAGGTGTAACATCTACTTTTTATCCACCTGCACTATATTAATAAGGAGTCACATGCCATGTTCAATGTCTTTGCTGCATACTGGACAAACCAACTTCAGTGACTGATACTGAATTAGATACATGATACATTGTACATGTACTATACATGTGTGAATATATATGCAGACAGCTAATTACATGTACGAGATCAACATTGCATACAGTGTGTAGGCGTGGGTGAATTGACAGTTCATTGGATTCATCTGTCTTCTCCATGGTGAGGAGTCTGTCCTAATTTTGTGTCAATAAATTTCAGTGAAACTTGAAGATCAGGAAGATGGGGAAACTGGTAGGAATTAGTGCTGCACTGTTTATATTATTTGTCATGTCACTTTTGCTGGAAGGGGCTTCTGGTTCCACAGAAGTGGAACTTTCTACTGATTGCACAAGAGAGTATACACAGTGCATTGAACAGGATAATACAAACGACTCTGTTGAACTGGGCAAAGACCTCAAAGTGGATATGACTTTAAGGCTGCCAAAGTCAGCATTTAGTGAACTGCTTGATTTCAATCAAAGTAAACTTGCTGTGGTAAGCATTGCTTTAGATATCATCAGAGGAACAGAACTTCTTGACCAAGATTATATGGATCGATTGGACGTAAACTGGGGCTTCGAGCTCGAGTCATCACGGGACTATGGACTGTTAAAACTGTCTCTACTTTTACTACGTGCTGAATATGCAGACACCCGCCTCCTGCATGTAGAGATCAGAACAAAAAATGTTCTGTACAAGACAAAAGGAAAGGAATGGTTTCATGTACCGGTAAGTGATATTAGAGACACGCAGACTGTACCATCTGATGTGGAGGCTTCAACATCAGATGGAATGGACCTGGGCACTACCACTTGTAGAGATTATGGCAATGAGACATTTCAAGAAATCAAAGACATGCTGTCTAGGATAGAAAGTACATGGATGACTGTGATGAACAATTGCAACTCAGAAAATCAGCAGTACGTGGATGCTGAAAAACTCTGGAAGGTTGTAACAAACATCTCTAATGCCATGACTGACAACTTGATCCAGTCCAAGGAGAAATTCAGTATTGCAGAAATGGCGACACTAATCATAGTGATAATTATCCTGATCATTTGCATCTGTTCATTCATCGCCATTCTGAAGATGATGGTCAAGTGGGGCAATCCTAGTTGTTCCAGTGTTCCGGTAAGTCCCCTGATTAATGAATCAAATGACTTTCTTCATGTAATTGTGCATCTTAACAAAACACAGAATAAACTTGAAGGCGTCATGGCCAATGGACTGCAAGATAATGAAGCTAACAATATTATGGAGATGAAAGTACGTGGCACCTCAGTATAATATCTATGATCAATATCAAAGAGACCATTAAGAAAGAATTGCCATTGAGGAAAATTAATTAATTTTCTTCTTTATCAATCCTCCATGTGATGTAGCCTACACTAAAATGGGAAGGAAATGAACTGCATCTATGGATAAGATGGGAATCCGCATCAACAACACAAGCATCATCCGATGAAATGCACCCATGTATTGAACAGGAATCACAGCACCTAATACTTCCAGCAAGAACCACAGCAAGACCTTTTATTACTAATAAAGGTCTGCTGGAATATACCATACAACAAAATCCATAAGATCTTTTGTATTTGATTAATATACATTATGCATTCTTGTATGGAATTTCTTGTACAAAATAAAGATATGTTGCTGGACTGTTTTGAAATTTGGTTTAAGTTTTAATAACACATCTCCAATTTTTACTCAACTCTTTCAGGAGAGGAATCTTTTAAAAGACTAAATTGATCACCTTTTATTCTTCAAATTGGCAAAAACTGTAATTTTCTTTTATTGCTACATTGTTTTTAATATAATATCATATCTCTAAAAAGCAAGGTATATGCATGGTTATGAGCTATGCAATTAATGAAGACTAACCTCCCCCCCCCCCCCAAAAAAAAAAAAAAATTAAAAAAATCCCTGAGGCCCATGATATGCAATTTTTTCCCCATTAATAATGTTTTTTAATCCTGACTAATTATCATTTAACCGTCTTGTATGTATATTTTGGTGTGATTTTGTGTCTTTTGATAATGAAACTGAGACGACTAGTCCCCTATTAGCTCCATCCAAACAAGGTAAACCACAGAACCAAAAAACAAACA